TTCAAATTTTTGTCTCATTTTACTTTATTTTTTACTTGGAATATGAAAGACACTTTAAAAGTATAATTTTTACAACTTAGATCATGTAATTTGGTTAAGTATTAGTTGAGTTATGATAGATTTTGTATTTGAGTGTACTTAGTGTGACGAAAATCACGAATCGCGCGTGTGACAATATTTATGAAAATGACAGTAAACGATTCCTAAAGACACAGTCTTGCGTCTTCGTAACGAATGTCATGTATTAGGTGTAATAAATATCGAGTTTTGCTCAGTATGTAGACGAAGGGTAAGGGAAAAATGCTACAAAAATGCAATGTCCAAAAAGTTGATACATATAATGGCAAGTGATCCTACAAAAATGGATGGACAGAGAGGAGCGGGACAGTACTATCTTGAATATGGATTAGGTAACGCATGTGTAGGATCTTCATCGTACGCTGGAGGAGGGATTGAAGGAGATGGCAGGACAGCCCGGTCCTCCCTAATTCGCTCCAGTTCCCTTCGTAAATTATCTACTTCCGTACGTAACTCTTTCTGATGAGCAGCATTTTTTGTATATCGTGTCGGTGCCCGTGTCGAATTACTTCCCATCGTCCCAATACCTGTATTACTATCACCTATAGCTAGGGAATTACTCGTCATCCCCGGTGTCATTGCAAAATCTCTATTGGATAAGTTTGCCCGGTGGAAAGGCCCGGTCGAGGCATTATATGCCTTGCGAACGCGTGCAAGGGATGCACTCCTGTTATTCGCCCTGGAATATGGATCAGTACGTAAGTCATGCATGTCTGGGTGTACCGTCCCGCTGAGTGGCTCCAGCACGGGATCAGCAGTAAGGTTTGCCAGTTTGGCAGGTAGTATGCGATCAGTGCCTTTTTCCATGTTGTTCAGATGTTGCTGACGCTGACGCCGACGGTAGAGAACTATGCCTGCGCCAACAATAAGTGCTAATCCTGCGACACCACCAACTGCAGCACCAGCAATAGCCCCAGGATTCGAACCACCACCACCACCAAAGACACCTGATGCAGACACAGGCTGAATAGGCAAGCTGAAAGGATATGTCAGTCTTACAGTAAGCACATATAGATCTAGGTAAGAACGTACGTTAAAGCCAAATGGGCGAATGCCGCTCCCACAGCCGGGCTACATCGTAAGTAGTAAGTGTTCCGGTTCAATAAGAAAGGCCAATAACACACCTATTCTCTCCACCAAGCTGCGTCCCGTCGCGCGGATTGTATAGTATTGGGAATGGGCGATTCTGTAGCTCGGCTGAAAGATACGAGCGAATTTGTTCAATCATGGCGTCTCTGACAGTTGTATCAGTTACAGCAGCGGAACCGAACATCATCCAATCTAAATAATGTAGGGTCAAAGAACAGAATCAGGCAAGCCTAGTGTTTCGAGCCTCACCAGCACGAGCCGTTGATGACATGTTAGATGCATCCAGAGGGATACCGCATTTAAAAAGCGCTAGTACGGGACGGACGTCAACGAAGGGCCATGTCCAACCACTAAGACCTACAGGTTTGTGACTTATAATACTGTGTTTGAGTGTCATACACCTTGTTAAACATTGGTAAACAAAAGCCAATTCATAGTGGAAAATTGGAAAATTCTTACAGAACTCGGGACGAGTTTTAGTTGAAGAAGCTTGTCCGCATATAAGTTGTAAATTATCCCCGAAGACGTTGAACCAAAGCTTATTCGGATTTGACCCGCGTCAACTGCAAGGCTCGTCCACTTTTGCATGTATTGCTGGGCAATACCCTACAGACGATGTACAAGGAATTACTTTATAAGACGACTCTTATAGAGCAGATATGCGCACCTGGAACCGGTTTTGAACATCTGTATACCCCATATAACCGCTGATCTTTGCCATAGCCCCGATACCAATGATACCCTTTAATATGAGATTCGTCTGATTGCTCGATAAAATCGCGTCCGAAAGCGATGATGCCCTGGAAACTGTGTTAAAAACAGTTTTGCGCCCTAAGCCAAAGACTTCGGCTCACTGATCTTCTGGATTCATGGTGTTATTCACCAGGTAATTGCCCCAGCCACTCAGGAGGTTATACTTTATTGATTACGGTTATAACCATAGCTTAAGTAAGGAGGTAGTTGTGCTTACGTGCTGGTTCAAAAGACTGCCATCTCCAGATATCTGAGCGTGAGCCAAGCTAATAATGAGCATGTTCGCGGAATCTACAGACGAGGCGTCATCAAAAATTGGATAATATATTAACAACGACTAGCACGTACGTTCGATCCCTTGATCGTGTCCATTTGAGTTCCCCGTCGCATTCGGAAATTGCGACCCTTTGATGAGTATAGTCTTAAAACTCGAATGACCACTTAAACTTACATGGGACTTACCTAAATCTTGGGCAGCATACGGATTTGTGTACTGAGTACTTTCCTGGTACTCCATGAGGGGGCTCAGGAGATATCCGAGGATGGCAGGGTTGAGATACAAATACGCTGGCATAGCGGCATACAGCACGTCAACAGCGCTTACTCTGAATGTAAATCTGGTTATTCGCCTGCGAGTAAACATCAGCTCGGAGTATCTCCACCTACCCGCCAGATCCGATGCCGCCCAAATCACTCAAGAACGCCTTGATATCAGATGTATTGAAAGTTCCCGAACTGTCCTTGAGTATAGTGTATTCGAGTGCACCCATAGCTGGCAGTGTTGAAAGGCGTAGAATATCCCCGTAGTTGCTCGAAATTTGACTGGCGTCACGGAGGATTTTATTATCGATAGTCGTTGATGCAGTTACAGCATTATCAAAATTGTCCAGGACGTCTTCGATCTGAGAAAACACGTCAGTAAATTCAATGTTTTGTGTAAAAGGAATACGTGCCACATCGTGAACGTTGGTGAACTTTGACCAGTAATACGAGCTTCGCTTTTCAATCTGCACTTTTTGGTTGGCGTATTGCACGACGGGATCGCGCACGACACCCAAAGCATACACCAGTGTCTCGCTTATGGAGTTGACAGTTCCAAGATCGACTGCGATGCCCATTGTGTCATAATCCGGGCTAGACCATGTTCATTGTGAGAGACAGATATCGAGCGAGTTCAAGTCGGGCTTACATGCCAAGGGGGTGAAAATTGGCTTCAGCTGTTTTCGGAAGACTAGTAACACTTCCATTCCCAAAACTATTGCGCAGATCCGCAGAATTGGCAATTTGCCAGGTAACGTTATCTGACTGAAGTGAATGAATATTGATGAATCTGTGTTGGTCATCGCCACAAAGATCTAGTAATAAACAAACGCACCTTCTTTGTGCAATAGTATAATGTTCCATCTTGTGGTCGTACATTGAGCTCTTGAAATGGTAGAGGCGAAGATGGCTGCATTTGCAAATAAACGAAATTATTCGACTCGTTAATCGTCCAATTCGTTGGCAGGTCTTTGTCACCAGCAATCCATTCTACGAGGAAGAACCTTAGACAGAATTCCGCTGCCAGAAGACGGAGTACTCACCTCCAGAAACGTCCGTATAGAGTTGCACGTCGTGAGCTTTTCCATCGTTCGGCTGGAGGGTGATGTACATATACGCAAATGGCATCGATTGACGGACGAGATCGGTCGGCTGTAATTGAACGGAATCAGAAGAGAGGGAGCACGTAAAAAATCTTCCGCACTCACTTCAAGTGGGCTCAAGAAAGTCATATTCACATCCACACCTCCGGCTGCAATAATATAGGATACTTGCGTTGGTGTATATACAACCTGCTGTTGAGATGCTATGGGGAGTTGAGGCGTAGGGGCCTGACCAAGAATTTGGTATGCTTTTCCATCGACACGAATTGCCGAATACCATGCCATGATCTAAATGTAGGAGGGGAAAAGGTGGGTAGAACTGCAAAACAAAATGCATCAATCTCACATCGAAACCTTTATCCCATGTCCTTGGCCATGCGGAAGTGACAGCTTCAGAAGCATTTCCCAGTGGAGACCATGTATTAACATATGGTGACTTAACAGCAAATGGTAGCGCTGGAGGGTTGAAGGGCGTGACTGTCCATGCAGTTGGCCCAAACTGAGCTGCGCCGTGGGCAGCAAGAAAGAGAAAAACGAGAAAACCAGACAGCATTTAGGCACGCCTTTCAGCAGAACATGACAATGCGAAGACAGGAATACGCGGCCAAAAGACAGGCAAGAGGAGCAACCAGTGCCCACACATCAAAAGGGGACACATCTTGTACGTGTTTTCTGCGTTCGCTAGGGTCGGGTAGTTTTGTGGCAATGAACAAATGACTATTTTAGTATTTAGGAAACTCGCGCTCATTCTGGCTTTCCCATTTCGGATTTAAGCGTAAAGCATCCGACTTTCTCTTGGCGTTAGCTTGCAAAATGTGCTCCTCACAAGTCTACATAAATTCGTTTGCTCCAAATGAAAAACGTCCCAAGGCGTTTCTTTCATACGAGGAAATCCTCAAAGTAGAGCACCTCCATCTTCACATTCAGCGTTGTGAGGCTCGGATCAATCTCCTAAATGGAAATTCCTGTTGATGATCTTGGTGACCGAGACCCACCTGTCCAAACAACAAAACTATGTAGCGTAGCGATAAACTGGATTGCTTCTTTTAGACTTCATCATTACAGCGTCGTCTGCTCAGCTATGGAGACCCCAGGTCCCAGGCACCTTCGTTTCTACACCTTGCTTATTACTTCTTCCTCGTGTATGGATGCAGGTGATTTCTCGTCGATAGGTGTCTCAGCTTCCACGTCCCTTAGGCCAGCTCGGGCAGCGGCCTTAGTAGTTACCTTCGCGACATTATCAAGGCCATCGAATATTCTAAAGTGGAGAACAGATCAGTCACGATATGCCAATATATAAACTGCTGACGACGACTTACAGGGCAGTCTCTTCAAGTGTCCGATTCTTCGTCTCAATGAGGTAAAGATATATAAAACCGAGCTCAAATGTGAGCCAAACGCAGTACACAATATAATACTTCCACGCGATCGCCGCGAATGCGATCGGATTGATGTACTGATTGAACACAAGTGATGCGCAGACCGAGAATCCAAAGACTGTATACCCTTTAGCACGCAAACTGAACGGGAGAATCTCGAGGGTATATGATGTAATAAGCGGCGAATATGCCATTCCGTATGCGGCACTGTATAGGACTGTCCGACAAAGGGATGAGCAACCGGAATTTCACGAATAAAGAAGGATTTTTATCTGAAAAGACTGACATAAGAATGCAACGACGGCGTTCCCGGCGGCTTTGTTTCCATGTAACGCGAATTGCGCCGAGCAGATCGTCTGCAATACGAAGAATAGCAACATCCCCGCAGTTGAAGCCAGGAACAATGGTCTTCGTCCGGCCTTGTCACATAATAGGCCTCCCGTGATGGCAGTGATAGCAGACCATATGCTTAATCCGCCACTGATCAAGAGTTGTTCCGTCCTATCTTGAACTGCCGCCGACGTTGTCTCAATAAGTAAATATCCCAAAGTATCGAGTACTTACTGCCTATCGTGTCAAAGACTTTGTTAAGATAATAGGACCTGTGACATGGAATACGGTAAACAACCGAAATGCAGCAGTTATACAGATGACGCACGCCAGCCCGTTACCACTCCATTGTGAAAAGAACGCAATAGCAATGATAATCCTCATACGGCGCCTATTTCCGGGCGTGCGCACTAACTGCAACCACCCAGTTTGTTTCTGCAAGCGTTCCGCTGCAAGTGCTGAGCGAATCTCCTGGAACTCGAACTGTACGAGCGGATCTTGCTTGTTGCCATTCGTGTGGTAGTATGCGAGGATGTCTAGTGCCTCTTCCTCTCTACCCTTGGCGACTAGCCAGCGAGGGCTTTCGGGTGCGAAGAGGATAAGTATGAATTGTAGTACAGAGGGAAATGCCTGGACTGCAGATGGGACACGCCATGCCCAGGAAGTGTTGATATGGAACGTGCCAAACGTTAGCCATGCAGCGCTACGAGGTGATTAGATCTGGTGAAACAATGGCTTGGAACGCTCTCCGATACGCACATAACTGCGCCTGCTGGCCAAAGGGCATTGTACACCGACGAGATCGGGCCGCGCTGTGTCCTTACGACGAGATATGAGCAAACTCTGTTCCTGACCTGAAGTCACAACTGAAGGAACAACTCACGGGTAAGCCAACTCGGTGACCAACATAGGAGCTGCGGCAGTCTATAATTCGGCAGTGAGACCCTCCAGGTACGGGAAGAAAGAATCAGCCCTTACACAGAATCCAAGTCCAAATCCGACTGCAAAAAGCAAATTGCGATAAGCAAAATGTGCGTACACAAAAGATGCAAGGTACATACGCATAAACCTAGCCCCAATGAACATCTCTACTGTCTGAGCTGCCGTCTGTATGATGGCGGCGGCGACTACAATTGTGGCTCCAACAAATATTGTTCTCTTTCTTCCGAGCCCATCACAAAGGTACGGTGTCATCGGAAGAGAACCGAGTGTGCCTATATTCTGTATAGCTCCGAGCAAACCAAGTTTAGGGCCACTGGGGAAGTTGAAGGCTATTTCCCACTGGTCAACAAGCTGAAGGCCGTCTGCGCATCGCCAGTGGAATCAAATGAACTCTGGTCATCCTTATTTGTACGAGCTAGTACGCACTCATCATGCTCCCGTCGTAGCCATTTGCAGTTGAGGTGATCAACCTGGTGTTGTGCGTTTAACATGGCACTACATGAATGTTGTGAATTGAAGCTTACAGGAGTAGAATCCACAAGTTCAGAACAATTAGCCGTCGGTTTTTGTACCATTTCTTGGAAGGGTCAATTAACTTGTGGTAGTCCGTTTCTGCATTTGGGCCAAGGACTGCAGTTTCGACTGCCATGTTATCTCGCGGGGCTCTGGGAGAGTCGACTAATCATAATTCTCCTTCGTCTCTTTTATACACCTCAGCGGAGCGTCGAAGATAATCAACGCCCCAACTTGTATCATCATGGTCCACAAATACCACCGCTAAAGCCTGTCAAACGACGCAATTCGTGCGTCCCGGCCAATACAGAGGCGCGCCGAGGAAAGTAGATCACCCATTCAACTCAAAACGCGTCCGGGAAGTCTTGTAGACAACAGGGCAGCTGACCATTTAGATATTTTGGGATGCCTTCAATCCATTAACGCGTAAAGTATCTTGCGTGAATTTAAGGTCACCTGAGTTAGAGTCTGTCGATGCAAAAATAACTGCGAAGCTATCCCGAGTGTAATTATCAACAATACAACGACGTCGACGGTAAAGATAATACACCTTCCACAAAATTAGCAAGTATTAGATTGTGCTCTGGATTAGGAAATCCCCAATTGCCTTATGTAGAATTACTGCACTTGGAATGTCTCAGATTATCAGACTTTACTATGTAGTATATAAGGTAGATACTTGCTTGATGTCTCAATAAGAGAGAGTACTTAGGGCACTCTCACTATGCTTGTTAAAAGGTTATGAGCCTTAGTGCTCATTGAATGCCCCCACACACTTGCTCTTACAGAATGCCTTTGCCTCCTACCAGACCACCAAGCCTAAGACCTCCCTCTTCCCCCAAACTCATTACAATGTTGTCTACAACACATACCTTTGTTAACACTACAATGAAGGACTCTGACGTTACAAAGTTCTTTGAGGGAACAGAAAAGTTGGCTAGTGCAAAGGGATACAAGATATGGTGCTTGTACATACACAGTGCACTTGCTGCCATAATGCTCTTAGACCATCTAGAGCACAATCCCCCTTCCTCTAATAATGCTAGTATATGTACAGACAATGTTTTGTATCATTGTATAACAAAAACAATAACTGATACAATTTATACAAACTTCACAACACATACAAGTGTTAGAAGTCTCATGAAGGTGCTTTCTGAACAATATGACGTTCAAACAACAATAATGCATGCTATAGACATATCCATGTTGTTTACAGTAAAAGAGCATGTATCACAGTTTGATAAGATGTTAGACAACATTGAACAAATCTACAGGTAGTTGTCTACACATAATAAAGCCCCTAATAATGATACATACATCTCAGCAATTAATCTCACTACTCCTTATGAGTATAGATGGGTAGTAACAATGCTAGACAGGCAGATTACTCATTATAATCAACTACCAACAGTTACAGTGGCTCAGAAAGACATTCTGACACTAGCTAAGCTGATACACAAATTACAAAACACATATACTGAGTATCATTCTTAGTACTCTCAAACGAAACAAGATACTGAATGAGACAGCCTACAAACGAAAGGCAAAAGTGTAGCTAAAGGCAAAACAAAGTCTTACAATAAAGTTAAATGCTACAACTGTAATAAGTATGGGTATATGTCAAAAGACTGCTGAAATCCTCTAATGAGCAAAATAACAGAAGCTTGAAAGAAAAAGCATAGGCAAACAGTTACTGCTTCTACTACTACTACTATACTGTCTCAACCTACACTTAATGTAGCAGTATTCATTAGAGACAATAACAAAACAGTATTCATTGAAGATGTTAATGAAACACTAATGCTAGAGTCTACAATTGTAGAAGCCTTAGTATCAAGTTCCAGCAGCTTACCTGTTCAATCTGCTCTATCTGCTGAATCCAATGTATTTTCAGTATTCAAAGTACAAGAGGATAGTGTCATACAAGTAGATGACTTTATGAACTCATTTGACAATATGAAAGAAGTCATTAAGGAGTTCAGTTACAATCCAAACATATGTATCAACACAATACATTGTAATGATACTGAACTAATACATTGTATTAATATATTAGACTCTGGTGCAAATGTACACACTACTCCATACTTGTTCTGTCTTACAAACATTCAGAACTCAACCCTAATAAACATTACAATTGTGAATAAATCATTATTCTTACTTAGCAAAAGTGGAGTGATGACATTTAACATAAAACTATGAAACAAAGTCAATGAGCATACAAAGGTGAATACAATTTCACTACAAAACATATACTATCATCCTAATCTGAACTTCACACTTGTTAGTAAAGTGCTATTATACAAAGCAGGATATGTTTTAATGAAAACAAACAATGAATGTATTATTTATTCTCCTGCTCATACAAAGATTGGTGAAATACATGTACAAAATAACTTGTATATGATAGTTTCTCATTATAATAAACAATCTATCAACACAATCACTATTGTTGATTTACATTGACAAATGGGTCATGTTAATTTCAATTACTTGCACAAACTCATACAAGAGTATCCTGAGATTATAAGTCAAAGGATAACAGACAATAAAAATGTACAGTGTACAGATTGTATCAAAGCAAACATACAATGTAATGAAATACCAAAAATACAAACAACACCTCTTGTACAATCCTATGGAGATCATCTCCATATTGATATATAGGGACCTGCCCTAGTACAAGCTTACAGCAAGTACAAATATCTTTTTACTATTGTAGATGACACTACACAATAGGTAACTATGCTACCTATACAGTATAAAAGTGATGCTTTCACTGAATATGTAAAGTATATAATGAAACTCTTTATACAGTATGGTATAAGAGTAAAAACTCTCTAAAGTGATAACAATACAGTGTTCCTAAGTAAAGACTTCACTACATACATTGAAAGTCAAGGAACAATACATAGATTAACAGTACACAATACACTACAGTAGAACAGAGTTGCAGAACATATGTATAAGACTATCTTTAACAGTATACATACATGTCTGTTATTAGCAAAATTACCTATGAAATTCTGGGTATATACAGTACAATATCAAACATTTATTCATAACAGAATACTGAGAGCTGTTATTAATTTCACCATCCTTCATAGCTTTGATCCATTAATCTTTGTCTATATGTGTTATAGTATTGTAATACATTAATGGATTGTTATAGACTTTGTTGAGGAATTTGTTAAATTCTGTTAGATACATAGTTAGGTTTATATTGTCTTTGTAATTTAAACCTATAGTTTGTTTAACCTGTCTTTGCTCTTGTGTAGAGTATTGTATAACAGGTTCTTTATCTTTATTATTGTTATTAGGAAGAGTTTCATTGTTGTTTAATGTATCATTGTTATGATTATTCTCCCCTTCAATCCTAGACATTAGTTTGTCTATGAATTGTACATTATGCTTGACAGTAATTTTATTATTATAGTACACTAAGTGACCTTTACTGTTGTTATCATAACCTAGCCATTGTGTGTGTTAGCCTCTAGGTTGTAGTTTATGTGTTTGTTCATTCTGTATAATACAATATGTGCTGAATTCTTGTATATTATCTATTTGATAATGTTTGTTATACTATTTGTAATATAGTGTTAAATACAGTCACTTCAACAATGAAATGTATGGATATATACTATCCCCCCTACAAATACAAATGTAATTGGAACAAAATTTGTCTATAAAATCAAAAGACTGGCTAACAGCCAAATAGACAAATATAAAGTACAATTTGTAGTGTAAGGATACACTCAAAAGAATAGAATAGACTTCTATTCTGACAACTTATTTGCTCTAGTAACAAAACTATCAATAGTACAATTATTGTTATCTTGGGTAGCATCTAAGAACTACAAAATACATCAGATAGATGTAAAATCTGTATATCTTTACAGAGAATTAAATGAGGACAAACTCATCTATGTGAAACTGTCACTAGGCAGGCTACTTACAGATATTAAACCTGGACAAGTGTTACACTTAAATAAAGTATTATACAGATTGAAACAAGTAGGTAGACAATGGTACAAGAAGATTACTGAACTACTGCTTAAGATTAGATTAGAACAAGCTAATTATGATTACACTGTATTTTACAAGAAACAAAATAATAAAACAATTCTTGTAACATTTATACACATCAACAATATTATAATTATTAGCAAAACTATTGCTATAATAACAGTATTCAAACATGCATTAAGACAACATGTTACATTTACTAATAGTAACAAAATACATTAGCTACTTAGTATTAAAATAAGCTAAGATAGACTACAACAAACAATTAGCTTACAGCAAAAGTATTATATTGAAAGTATAATCAAGTGTTACTACTTTGAAAATGAAAAGGCACTACAAACACCTATTACTCCTGGAATAGATCTATCTAACAATACAAACAATACATACAATACAAACGAAAGTAATAATGAAACAACACTATACATAAATATGGTAGGATTGTTAAGATATGTTGTAGACTACACACAGCCAGACATATCTTATATTACTGGGCAATTAGTGTGCTACTTACAAAAGCCCCAAACACATCACTACAAAGTAGTAAAACATTACTTTACATATTTAAAATATACAACAAATTGTTGGCTTCAACTTGGAAGCACAAACGCCTTAAAACTATGAGGCTATTGTGATACAGACAGACAAATGACAGAAGGACATAAAGTAATAAACAGTTACATCTTTCAATTAGCTAAATTGACTATATCTTAGTCAAGCAAACAGTAAAACCTGGTACTACTATCTGTTTACAAAGTAGAGTTGTAAGCACTAGTGTATACTACTCAAGAAGCTATTTGGCTCAAACAATTTGCTAAAGAAGTACTACAGACTGAATCAGCACCTATTACAATTTATTACAATAATCAAAGTGTAATAAAGACTGTAAAGTCTGACAAAATAACATACAACACTCACACTAAACATCTTGATTTACAAAAAGACTTTGTACAATGTTACATTCAAAACGAATACATCAATGTATGCTATGTTCAATCACAGAACCAATTAGCAGACATTCTTACAAAGGCTCTCTACATCCTACAGATCAAGCATCTAAACAAACTATTAGGCATACAGTCTTAGTTCTTAATTAATGCTTGAAGGGGAGTATTAGATTGTGCTCTGGATTAGGAAATCCCTAATTGCCTTATGTAGAATTACTGTACTTGGAATGTCTCAGATTATCAGACTTCACTATGTAGTATATAAGGTAGATACTTGCTTGATGTCTTAATAAGAGAGAGTACTTGGGGCACTCCTGCTACGCTTGTTAAAAGCAAGAGTCAAAGGAGATGGCCGAGATGTATGTACAGTACAGTAACAATTAAGATTGTGCATTTAGCATGTCTCCCATCTCCGTCAAGAACTTATCATAATCATCTTTCGGCCTCTCAATCTTTCGCTTCTTCGCGCCGGACTCGCCATCGTCAGCTGTAGCATTCGCGCTATTTGCCATCGGGCCGAACTTTTCACGTAACGAGCCCAGTAGATCAGGTTTTGGTGCCGTCTTAACGTCTTCGCCAGTTACATTATCACCACTTGCATCACCTGTGGTTTCAGCCCCAATGGACGGTGCAGCATTCACGCGGCCGCTTGTAGCACCACCAACTTTTTTGCGTTTAAGAGCAGCAGGCACGAACGCAGTACTCTCTTTCTTGAAGTCACGTAGCTGAGGCTCTGCGCTGACTGTCGCGCTGCTATCTACGTCCCGCTTCGGGGGGTTACTAGCACCAGGATCAGCGGAAACGGGTTTCGCAGGTAAGCTCGGGTTAATAGGAAGAGTACTGGGCGTGAGTGTTGAGTTGCTTCCCGCCGCAGCGCGTGCAACACGATGAGCTTGGTAAGTTTGATGAGGAATGTCGGATAGAGGATCCTGCATTGCACCTGGAGCTAAACGCTGCCCACGTCGTGAAAAGAAACCAGGAGGCGGAGGGGGAACGGGTGCCACCGAATAAGAGAATCCAGGCGGCGGTGGAGGAGGAAGAGGAGGTAATCCTTGGCCGGTCGCAGACATGACAGATGCAGGAGGGAAAGGTATCCCAGTGACCAGCTGCGGCGCAAAATTAGGAGCGAAAGGAGGCATAGTAGGTGGCAGACCTAGGGGAAGCGGCGGTGGACCAGGTGGTAGAGGAGGCTCAGAAGGCAATTCCTCCGCTGGCACGATAAATAGTTTGTTAATAAGGGACAAGAAAATACAGTACATGCAATTGTCAAACCTGCGTCTGGAGGCGGTCCATCTGGGAGAGGGATGTCTTCATCGCTCTGATCGTCGTTGTCGTTAGAAGCATCCGGAGGCGGTCCGTCTGGCATTGGGATGTCATCATCTGAATATATGAAATATCAATACCAGAAGATAGGCTGAAAGGCATGTCTGACAAACCGGATGCATCTGAACCAGCACTTTCCGCCTCGCTGTCGACCTCACCAGGTAGCAGAGCTGGCGGACAAAGAGTTAGCTACATTCCTGGCGCTTGATATCAAGCACACCTCTCTCAGCGTAAGGCATGCCTGGTGGAGGCATTCCGTAGGGATTCATAACTGGATCGTAATAGACGCTGCGTTCAGGGTGTTTTGGCAGACCATTCTTGTTGAACAAGTTCCTCTTTCTCTTTTCAGGAGGAACGGTGTCTGTCTTCTCTTGGTCTCCTTCCTTTTCTCGTCGCCGACGGTAAACAAGATTACGCTGTTCCGGATGTTCCGTAACATATTCCTCTTTCTTCTTCATGACCTTCGCTAACTCTGCCTTCAACTCCGAAAGCCGGGAGCTTTGGGCTTTCGTCAATTCTGCACTTTTCTCTAGTACTGCAACTTCGTCTTCCAGTTCTATTCACAATAGCTAAGCATGAATATTACTCCAACGTTAATGCAGGACATTCGTTTACGCACCCGAGGTATCCTTCTTTACAAGCACAAAGTCTCTATTCCGTTGCCTCTGTTCTTTGTTCTTTTTCAGCTCCTTCTTTCTTTGCGCCTTTCCTATGAGTAATAAGATCGCCTTTTGTAGGTGAATAGTATTCAATCCACTCACTCAGGGCATCCGCTGGATTGAGGTTCTTGCCTTTCGCCATTATTGATGATAAATGGCTTGAAATCGTATATTTACGTCTAAGCTAGGGTGAAGATTTCGGCCCAGTTCTCTGTGTATTATATGAAGGCGATGAGAGGAAAGCGCGTTTAAGTGACGCAAAAGAAGACAGACGGTTGACGTTCAAAGTTGAGTGAGAACGTCACGTTACTCTGCTCGTCGTCGGAAGTTACCGGCCTCTCTAGGCTCTGTCGTAAGTCTATGTCAAATTCAGCAGATGCTTAGATCAGTATGTTTCCATTTCCATTTAGTTAACGATTGAAAACGTCATTTTGAAAGAGTAAGAAGCATAATCTAACATGCGGACCAGCCATACCGAACATGAAATAAGTTGTTACAAATTTACAATGTAAGATCTACACGGATACCAGAAAATTCGCTGCATGTTTTATAATCCACGCCAAGGAAATCATAACAAATAATGCCGTTAGAGAAACAAATAGAATGAGGGCCAAAGAATACAAGAAATAATGTTCTAGTGCGATCGTGACACGTCTGAGTCTGTATACACGGGCGGTGCCTCTTCTGCTGCAAGTCGCTCTTGCCTGATCCGCTCCACTTCTTGCCGCAGAGAATCAAATTCCGAGCGCAGCGCCTCAACTCCTTGCGATCTGTCCGAGCCCACTTGCGAGCTGGGCTCAGTCGAGCTTCGCGTTTGCAGTTCGTTTGGATTCGTCAAGGCCAACTCGCGTTTTTCGTCAGTTCCTCTCATCCCCTCCCACTGCAAATATGTACCACGGGAGGAATTGTCTGGCCCCGAGGGAGTAGAGCTTGGCGCGCTGTGAGATACTAATGCAGAGTCACTTGGTATTGCGCTATAACTATATGCTTCGGAGATCGGCGGCGACAGAAGGTATGGCTGAGCGAATCCAGATGGTTCAACTCTGGGTGTTGCAATTTGGTCTTCACTCTGCCGCGCGCGACGCTTGCGCCAGAAGAAATATATGCCAAGAGATGCAATAGCGACAATGGCTACGCATGCTACGACGAGTCCGGCGATAAGTCCAACTTTTGGTTTGCTCGATCCAGATGATCCATTCGAGGACTGGTCAACGAATGGTACGCTGACTGACTTCGTCGTCGTACTAAGTCATTTTAATAAATACAAATTAAATTATGTAATGAAGCAGAAACGTAAATACGCACTTTAAAGCAAGCAATGCGAACATGCCACCTTGGGCAGGACTGAGTGCGAGATAAGCTTTCTAAAAAAGCGTCGTGGAGTGAGGTGCGTACCTTGCTATACCTCCACTTGTGCCTGGTCCACCAAGACCCTTAATCGGGTCATAAATCGACGTAAATGGCACTTGATTAAGATTATTTGACGCGTAGGCATGTATCTGAGTTACTAGGAGATCCCGGGTTGCGTTACTCTTCGCCGTAGCCGCAGCAAACATCATCCAGTCTAAAGTAATAGAATCTGGTCATTAAATGGTTGATTCAGATCACAACGTTCACTCACTCGTTGTCGTGTTTTGAGTTGGTGAGTTGCTCAGCGGTAACCCATATTTTAGAGAAGCTGCAGAGCTAAGTTGACGAACATAGATTGGACCGAGGAATTAATGCCACACACCTGCTTCGTTCTGATAGAATCCAGTTAATAGCGTGTATACCGAGTCAGGGACCAAATTGAGGCGAAGTAGCTTATCAGCATATAGGTTGTACATTAATCCACTTGAGCTAGAATTCCCATAAAAGAAATTGACGTGTGAGGTAGAAAGTGCCTGGTCTTGCCAGAATTCCAGAGCGGAACTTGCTGTCGCCTGATAAGCAGAGTGCCGCTTCAGCTGGTGAGCGAATGACGAAGCCTGATAAATCTGCTCACGTTAAAGCTTTGCTGGTCGCTCACTATACCGGCAAGTTCAGCGATCCTGGCCATTGCCGCGATCCCAATGATTCCCTTCAATGCAAGATTTGTCTGATTGGGGCTAATGAAATCGGTATTTATGCTGAAGTCTCCGGACGATCTGGGAGTAGCGCGGTCAGACAGGACCAAAATGCCAATCAATCGACCTTACTGATTGAAAGGAGCGATTGTATTATTACCCAAGTAGTACGCCCAGTTTCGCATCAAACCGTACTGGAAAGATATGTTAGTTGAATTAACGATTCCAATTAACCATGGGCGTGGCCTACATGTCTTTCAATCAGTGTGCCATTTCCTGAGGCCATTGAGTATGCCAATATCATAATAATCATGTTCGCAGTTTCTATTGAAGTAGAGGTTGTTAGAAGCGGTATACTACACGTGCAAAGAAGTGACGACCATCTACTCCGTAAATATGTTGGTCATTGATGCCATTGGCAGTTGCACTCGGATACGAGGTACCTACATGGCTGTCAACTCATGCTGACTGCGTTAAAGGAAAAGAGGATACCAATGTTTCGAGCCGCATATGGTAATTTGTAAGCCGGGGAGTTTTGGTACTCGAGAAGAGGCTCTAGAAGGCATCTCCCTATCTCGGGATTGAGATACAGGAAAATGGGGAATGCTGCATAAAGTGCATCCACATTATTCACACTCGCTAAAGTCCTGTTAAGAGAACGATGGTTCAATTTCCGAGGCTGTCAGGAAGTACTCAATAAATACATACTCGTTGTCAGAACCGACACTCCCGAGGTTTTTCATGAAAATCTGCACATCTGATGTATCCCATGATCCACCCGATGACGGAGGAATTGTGATGTCCATAGATCCCATCGCCTGCCGTGCACTTAACGCGAGAAGGTCAGCGTATTCGGTTGAAAACGCTCCACCATCAGCCTGAATCTGCGCGTCAAGAGCTTGGGCTGCAGATATTGCCCGCGGGAAGTCATCTAGCACAAACTTTGCCTGTACATTCAGGCATGTAAGAATTGCGAAAGGATTGATAAAAAGTATCCGCATACAGTAGCAACTGGATCACTAATTTCTGACGCAAAAAATGGACTCCTGTTCTCAAAGGAGCCTTCAGGTGTTAGATGCTGTATCGTCGGATTTCGGTAGACGCCGTAAGCCCACACAGCAGGTTCTGGTGTAGAACTGATATTTCCCCAGTCAAACGAAATCCCAATAACCGGTGAATTGCTTCCCCTAGAATCTATTCAGCATTCGTGATTATGCTGATTGAGGAAAGCAACCACGTACGATGAAACGGGTCGAAAGGTCGAAGGAGGATCTGCTTGATTATCCAGAAGTCCACCCGACGGATTGCCGACAAATCTACCCCGCGTCTTATCAATGTTTTCTATTGCCCACGAAGTTGTCCCGCTTCCGATCTAGAATTACAGTACGAGGAAGTTGTATGCTAACTGAAGTATAAACAGGGGAGAGGTCAATTTACCTTTTTGAATGCGTTAATCAACGTAGCATCCTGAGGATGAATGTTGTTCTCGACAAATGGTACTGGATTTTGGAGTTGCATGCTAAGAACAACATAATCAGACGTGTCTTCAGATTGCCATTCAACGATCTTGCTTGTATCACCCGCGATGAGATCTGAATACAAGATATTGAATTCCAGTCAAGATTTCGCTGCAAAAGTACTCACCACCGGCAGCGTCGGCGTACATTCTAACCCGGTGCAGTTGGCCATCTGTAGATTGCGCAGTCATATATAGGTATGCGAAAGGAAGTGATTGGAGGGTGAAATTATTCGGCTGAAATGAATTATAAGACACTCGTTTTGAAGCAAGTCTCGTGAAACTTACTTCTATGGGGCTCAGAAACGACATGTTAAACTGGACACCTCCAGCAGATAGGAGGAATGATGTCCTCGTTGCAGTAAATTCAACTGCTGTCTGATTCGGAGTATTCTCCCCGCTAAAGTACTGGCCAAGCAGTCTATACTCTTTGTCGTCTACTACGGCACTTGCGTACAAGGCCGCGCTCTTGAGGGATAAGACTATGGTGTCATACAAGAGAACGTCTGAGTTAAAGTATGTGAACTTACTGTATACATGGCCCAAGGGTTGGCATTTACAGCGAACGGGGAAGGAGGATTGTTACCCTGTGCAAGCCATACGTTGAAATAAGGCGAACGGACAGCGAGTGGAAGAGCGGGAGGATTGAATGGAGAGGCTGTCCAATTGGAAGGTCCTGATTGAGTCTGTACTCGTAGCGCGAGGAGGATGAGGAGCAGCAAGGATGTCAATAGCTCCATGATCGTGGACGTATGGGTGGAACAAACGGAAGGTACTGTACAACTTGGGGGCAGAGCGGGTCCATAGCAGAACAGCGCGTTGTGATAGCATCGCAATGATCCTGTGCGCGCTCGTTGTCCCGCATACCTACATTTGTCCTTCACGAGGACGTACTTACTTATTAGCCTCGAATCTGATAGATGTTGCCACGGAAGCTGTTGACAATGCTTTGTAATGTAACAGGAAGGCCGTGGGAAGATGTACAAACAATTCTTGAATCAATAGATGATTAGAACATGTGTTGGAACGGACTGGACTTTCCAACCACACCAAGAACGCGTAATCATTCAAAAATAGATGCTTGTTGAATCCACTCTTGGTGCCGGTGCGCCTCAGTTTACGCCATGTGTGAGGGTTAAACGAAGATCTTCTGTGTGAAACGTTGCCATGGGTCAGTTTTCTGCATCGCAAGTCGCGACACTGGTTGAAGTTATTGACCGGATCTTTTCATTTTCACCCTGAGCGCCGCCGCCGCTGTCACCATTGGTGGGGCTTGCCGGATGAGATCTGGTGCCCAGCAACGCAGCTCAAACGACCACAAATAATGTGAGGTGTGTTTGTTCTTCCCACGGTCTCCGAAACCGAAATATAGTTCACTGTTCAAACTTCACTGGAGCAGTGCTTGAACAGTACTTGATCAGTTTTCCATTCCTTTTTCTTCCATCTGAGTTATAGAAATGCAAATAGTATTCTAACAGAAAAGTATCCACCATTAGTAATCGTCATAATTAAATTAACAATTGCCTGAGAGTAAATTTTCTTTAAAAATGACACATGTTACTTTGTCATTATGTACTCTCATTAAGTGGTCCGAAGATAGGTACCTCAAACAGATGAATATTTGACATGCGAGGTCAAGGGGAATAGTAATTAAGTTATGTAACATTACTCGGTCCTATCAGCATTTGCTAATACATTTCAGTGCCAAAGAGGACCTATTGACCTTTAGGCTAAGAGCTCGTTCTTGAAAGATCATATTGAAATTGGCAGACAGAACAATACTTCCATTCCTTTGCATCCGTTTAACAGCCCAGGAAGCATTTTGTGGGGGGAAGTGTATTATGACAGCAAACCATACATGGAACAAATACAATAGTGGGAATACCAGAGAATCCGTTAAGTGTATTACAGTACCCTGTCTGTCAATCTATGCTAGAGAAATTACGACAATAATGCCTTGGGAGAAACAATAAAGCGAGAATAGAAAATTTCTAAAAAGTACGAAAAGTACGGTCTAAAGACTATCACGACAGGTCTGGATCCGAATACGTAGGCGGTGCATCCTCGGCTGCACGTCGCTCATGTCTCATCCGCTCTATTTCTTGCCTCATAGCATCAACTTCTGAAAGCAGAGCATCAACTCCTTGCAAGCGGTCTGTGCCGACTTGCACGTTGGCCTCAGTCGGCCTTCGTGTTTGCGATTCAGTCGCATTTGTCATGGCCGGCTCGCGTTTCTTGTCAGTTCCTCTCTCTCCCTCCCACTGCAAGTGTGCTCCACGGGGAAAATTGGTTGGCCCCGAGGGAATAGATATTGGCGCGTTGTGAGATATTAACGCAGAGTTACTGGTTATTGCTCTGTAGGTATGTGCTTCGGAGGTTGGTGGCGGCAAAATGAATGGATGAGCAAATCCAGACGTCTCAATTCTGCTTGTTGCAATTCGGATTTCATCTTGCCGTGCCCGACGCTTGCGCAAAAAGAAATAAAGGCCAAGAGACGAAATAGCGATAACCGCTACGCCTGCTACGGCCAGTCCAGCGATGAGACCAGCTTTCATTTTGAGCGAGGCGGGCGATTCGTTCGGAGATGGGTCAATGGATGATACCTTAACCGGTTTCGATGTCGTACTAAGGCATTTTTATAAATGTGAATCAGATAAATGGTGAGGAGCAGAAATGTAAATACTCACTTCAAAGCGAGCAATGCGAACATGCCGCCCTGTGCAGGGCTGAGTCCGAGATAAGCCTTCTAAAAGTCCATCGTGAAGTAAAGGGCGCACCTAGCTATACCTGCAGTCGTTGCACTAGTTCCTGGCCCACTGAGACCTGTAATGGGGTCATATCTCGATTGAAAAGGTGCGGCATTAAGATTATTTGACGCATAGGCATGGATCTGTTTCACTAGGAGATCCCGAGTTGTATCGTTCTTCGCTGTCGCTGCAGCGAACATCATCCAATCTAGGGTAGCGGAATTTGGTCACTAAATAGTAAATTTGGACAAAAAGCGCACTTACATGTTGTCGTGTTTTGCATTGGGGAGTTACTCAACGGTATCCCATACTTAAAAGATGCTGCAGAGCTGAGTTGTCGAACAGAAATTAGATCGAGGGATTAATGCCACACCTGCTTCGTTCTGATAGAATCCAGTTAACAGCGTGTATACCGAGTCAGGGACCAAATTGAGGCGAAGTAGCTTATCAGCATATAGGTTATACATCAATCCACTTGAGCTAGAATTCCCATAAAAGAAATTGACGTGTGAGGTAGAAAGTGCCTGATCTTGCCAGAATTCCAAAGCGGAATTTGCTGTCGCCTGATAAGCAGAATGCCGCTTTAGCTGGCGAGTGAATGTCGAAGCCTGAAAAATTTGCTCACATTAAAGCTTTGCTGATCGATCACTATACCGGCAAGTTCAGCGATCCTGGCCATTGCCGCGATCCCGATAATTCCCTTTAATGCAAGATTTGTCTGATTGGGGCTTGTAAAATCGGCGTTTATACTGAAATCCCCGGACGCTCTAGGAGTATTGCCGTCAGATACGATAATAAGAGAAATTAATCAGTCTTACTGATTGGACGGAGTGACAGTATTATTACCCAAGTAGAACGCCCAGCTTCGCATCAGGTTGTACTGGAATAATGTGTTAGTTGTGATATATTGCCAATTGACGATGGGGTGGCATACATGTCTTTCAATCAGTGTGCCATTCCCTGAGGCCATCGAGTATGCCAGAGTCATAATAATCATGCTCGCAGTTTCTATGTAAATAAAGGCTGTTAGACATGATACACCAAATGCGAAAAAAAGACGACCATCTACGCCGTAAATGTGCTGGTCATTGATACCATTAGCAGTTGCGCTCGGATACGCGGTACCTACATGGCTGTCAACTCATGCTGACTGTGTTAAAGGAAAAGAGGATACCAATGTTTCGTGCTGCATATGGTAACTTGTAAGCTGGGGAGTCCTGAAACTCGAAGAGAGGCTCGAGAAGGCATCTCCCTATCTCAGGATTGAGATAAAGGAAAACGGGGAATGCTGCATAAAGTGCATCCACATTATTCACACTTGTCATAGCCCTATTAAGTCATCAGTAATCAACCACCGTTAGAGTCAGAGAGAATATCGAATAAATACATACTCGTTATCAGAGCCAACTCCCCCAAGGTTCTTCATAAAAATTTTCACGTCCGATGTATCCCAAGAGCCGCTTAACGATGGAGGGATCGTGATATCCATAGACCCCATAGCCTGACGTGCACTTAACATGAGAAGGTCTGCATATTCAGTTGAAAAAGCCTCTCCATCCGCCCGAATCCGCGCATCAAGAGCTTGTGCTGCAAATGATGCCCGTGGAAAATCATCTAGCACAAACTTTGCCTACAGATTCAGACATGTAAGGGGTGTAAAACCATTAATAATAAAAAACAATATGCATACAGCAGCAACTGGATCACTAATCTCTGATACGAAAAATGGACTCCTGTTCTCAGAGGAGCCTTTAGGTGTTAAATGTCGCATCGTCGGATTTCGGTAGACGCCGAAAGCCCACACAGCGGGCTCTGGCGTGGAACTAATATTTCCCCAGTCAATTGATATCCCGATAACCGATGTATTACTTCCCCTAGAATCTAATTAGCATCCGTGATTATGCTAATAGAGGAAAGCAAAACGTACGCTGCAACAGGTCGAAAGGTCGAAGGAGGGTCAGCGTGGTTGTCTAGTAGCCCACCCGACGGATTGCCGACTGTAACAATTGCACTACCTGTGCATTTGCACAACATGTGTTGTAGGTGCTTGTGGGTGTTTTCCTTTTTGTTCACTAGACTACCCTGTATCCTACTACACATGTATATGCATATATAAAGGGTTTTTGAGCTAAGGGTTAGGGGATTCTTTCACCTTCTTGGTGCTCAATTACTAAGTTATCCCAGTCAGTAGTTGAGTGTGCTGGTAAAGAGAGAATCTTTGCATAAGGCTAGTATACCTATCCTTACACATTTTTGACTGAACCCACCTTTCCATAAACCTGCTGGGCTTTGACAACCAGAACTGAGGGCTTGATCACTCTAATATGTTCCTCACATTGTCTAGTACTCCTTCAAATTCAAAGAAATCAGTGAGTAGTTTGCAAATCTAAATTAGAGACACATATACTCTCACTATGACTACTAAGATACTTAGAATGCTTGAGGGACACAAACAGATTGTTCCCCTCAATACAGAGAGACCTCCTCATCAATATCATAAGAGGCAAGCATTATTCAGAAGTGCTGAAGAGCAGCTTTCCCTAAATGTAGAGAGATTCAAAACAGTACACACTACAGATTTCAAATTAACAGAGTATGCAGACAATGGACAACAAGATTATCTGTTGAGTACTAAACATGATGTGGCCACTAAGCCTTAGCAGACAATTCTGGAAGGGCCCCCAAGTCTGGAAGTCACTATTAACATGTTAGAGAATAAGTCCTTGTCTGTTACAGGCTGGAGGCAATCTGATGACCCTTTGCCAGGTGATAAGTCCTTGTCTATACAAGGCTGGAGGCACTCTAATGAACTATTACATACAAGTAATGTAGAACAAAGGTATGTACCTGTACTAGCACATATTGTTAGACTAATACATACTATAGAGCAGACACTAGTAAGTGCTTACCTTACTAGACTCACAGAAATAGATAATAACAGTACAGAGAGTGTAAACACTTAGGAAACTGGTATTAAGGATTCTGTCAGTAAGAATAAGGGTATTAGTAAAGGAACAACACTTTCCTTACAGTAGGAAATGTTTCAGAAGGCTAGAAAGACATTCAGAAACGTTCCTAGGCTAGAGACACTGAAAGCTATGAGTAGGCTAGTCAGTCTATTTAATCAAGGAATTGATATTGAGGAATTGAACAAGAGAACTTATAAGTACAATAGTATGTATTAGGAACATGAAGGAAACATCAATTTGGACACAATCAATCAATCTAAACTAACTAGAGATGAGTTAGCTAAATGGATGTATTAGAAAGTATGTTGTCAACACTTAGAAGCTACTAAGGGAATGTCTAAACAATTGGAAGATACTCTACTGTTTGAAAGCACACATTCTTAGAAGAAAGATTCAGGTAAATCTGTACCTAGTAATAAGAAAAGTGTAAGAGCAAATAAAGGAAAAGCTCTAGACATTTGTAATTATAGTCAGGTAGAATTAGACAGTTCTAGCAAAGCAGATTCTGATGTATAAAGAATGTATTTTCAGAAGATAGAGTACAGACAAAATGTAGAATCAGGACAATAGAATTTCAGAAATGAAGACTATAGTAAGGCTCTCAGAACTCCTCAGGAATTATTAGTTTGTTTCAAGTAAGAAATGTATTGCCCTAAGATAGAAAATCAAGGTAAGGACACATACTACAGATACAACACCCTAGTAGGGCAAGGAGACACATTACAGAATAAAATACTTGTATATATACACTATCATACTAATGTTTAAGGATTGACACATACACCTAATATGAAACACAATATTAAAATGAACAGACTGAACCTAGACATGAAACTTATGGTTCTAGATACCTCTGATGACAGTAAAGACAAATCAGAAACTGTGAAAGGTAAAGAGAGTAAGGAAAAGAATTTCTACTACAGTTCTGTACCCTCTATCAAGTATAGTACAGATAGGAATAGTAAAGGCCATAGAAAAAGAACCACACAAGATACTACTGAGCCACAAAGCTCAAATACACTACAGACAAATAGATTCACATTAGTGAGACTCTTAGACAACCTCACAAGGAAGAGTTATGTAAATTGTACAATACAGAGAGTAGAAATTGTAAAAAGGTAGGATCCTAACCCAGATCCAGGTAATAGCTCTTCAGATTCTTTGGATTCAAGTAGATACTTAAGTTCTGACAATAGCAATGATAGTAATACATTATTTGAACCTACAGACATTGATTCAAGCAACTCTGAAGGTACTAAAAAGTGTAAAAAGCTTGCTAAGAGGAAATGGAACAAGGAACTTCTGAAATTGAAGATACAGATGCAGAGTGCAAAACCTATTGTTCCTACAGTTTATTCAGGTGAAACTAACCTTCAAAGATATACTAAGTTTGTCATGGAAGTTAATCAGTACATGAAGTAATCAGGTTTACATTATTTCTCTAAAGAACAAGTAGGAGTACTACCTAATTTCATTAAAGGACAAGCTATAGACTTCTATCTACAAAAAATAAGTATGAACGAATCTCAATAGACCTTATCACAATTCTTTAAAAGTCTAATAGACTTTTGTTTCCTATCTAACTTTGTAGAAATGCTTAGGAAAGAGTTTAATACAATAAAACAAGGACACAGAGTCATACAGGAATATTTGTACAATCTAGAAATGAAAGTAATCAATCTAGGCAATATTTCTGATAGAGATTTAACTAGGAGAGTATGGGATGGACTTCATCCTAAGTATTAAAGGTAATTATGGTTGGATTGTTTGAATCCAGACACAGTTTTGTATGAAGAATTTAAAGACAGGCTTGAGAACATTAAAAAAGCAAATGAAGCTGTTGGAATTAAATAGTATACAGATACTAGAGATTGATTCTATCCTCAGAGTAACAAAGAAGACCATTAAAAAGACAGATGGAAGAAGAACAACTAGAGGAACTATAGGAATGACAATAAGAATTGACTAAAGGACAGGAATTATAATTATAATTGTAATAATTATAACAGGTAGCACATACAGTCTAACAGTGTAAGTCCTAAAGAGAAAGACTGATCTAAGGACTACAAACCAAAGTACAAGGATACTAGGCAGAATAAGCAAGAGAACAGTAAGAAGACTTATTCTATAGGTGTGAAAAAGTATTCACAAGCTGAACTAGACAATATGAGAGCTAAAGGACAATGTTTTATCTATAAACAGACTATGTATTTAGCTAAAGATTGTCCTACACACAGTATAGTAAAGCTGAACTAAAGATATCCTCTATCTCTAATAGTTCCTAATGATTTTAAACATATTTGGCTGAATATTGAGCTTGTCTGAGTAGAGAATACTATTCTCTAACATTAAATCTGTTCAGAAAAGTAATCTTAACAGGTAATGTGTACTCATTTCTGTTCTCCCAATTGTTAATGATCATAAACTACATATCTGTACTTCTGAAAACATAGAATTGGTGTAGATACTTATTCTAAAGTATTCTGTTACATTTCCAGTCAAAACAGTACAGAATTCCTTCCATAAGACATCTAGTAATTCTAAAACATACTGTATCATTGTATTCACTGTAGAAATAGCTATTTCTGTAGATTGATCTTATTCTCCTCTGATTTCTCTTTCTAAGTTTAGTGTTTACAAGGGGAATCTTTAATTCTAAAGTGTCAGAAGAGGTTTGTAGCTTCAAATCCAATTGTTCTAGACTAAATACTTACAAAATAGTATTGTAACCAGCTAATGAATTGTAATTCTCATTCTTCTAAGTTGTAGATTCATAACTATTGTCTAGATAATGTATCTGAATAGTCATAGATTGTATTTGCAATATAGAAAATGATAGATCTATTGTATTGTCTGCTATAAGATTCAAATCCAAGTAATTATTGTCTTCCAAAGTATTAGTTAACTTATCTAGAGCAGAATAATTGATATTAACACTCTTAGACAACATATTTGTATTGGAAACACTATCCTGAATTGTTTGAGCTAATGTATTCAGTTGTGAGTATGGAAAACATTGACTTGCATCCCATATCTGGAAATAGAGTATATATGTATGATTTACCTGTGTAAATCTATACTATGACTACTAACTTCAACAATTTTAATACAATTGAGTGTACTACAGCTTATACTAAGGACTTTAAGAGATTAATATTATGTCCTATCATAATTACAATCAAAATCAATAGAGAATTAGTGAGAGTATTAATTGATTTAGGATTATTAGCAGATTTCATGTCTACCAAGTTTGTAGATCAAATAAGCATTATGAAACTTGTATTAGCTAAACCTCTACCTATACAATTAGTAGTACAAGACTCTAGATTGAAAGTAAACTATTGTACCAATGTAAGAATACAATATAGAGAGATAAATGCAATACAGCACTTTAATATTATGAATTTGAATAACTATAATATTATACTAGGAATACTGTTCCTCTTCCAACACAAGATTTCTATTAGTTTCAATGAGTCTAGACTATGGATTGAAAGTACAATACCTCTACCAATAATAGGAGAACAAGTCACAGTTGTTTTATTAAAGGTTATTAATACTTATGATTAAGAAATTAATAAATGTAGACAAGAAATCAAGTAATATACTACAGATTTGTTCAAAGACACTTTGGAAACACCTCTACCACTTCTTAGAGCCATTAATCATAGTATACTACTCATAGATGAGGATAAGAAATACAAGTTCCATAGGGCAACTTGTTCAGATCCTTTGAGAGAGTAATGGTAAAACAAGAGAAAGGACTATATTCAATTAGGAAGATGGAAAGTAGTTACAGGATCAAATGTAATGCTTATACTACTACTTCAAAAGCTTAGAAAGACTAAGGAAGACCCTATATGATTGAGAACCATTATTGATCTTAGAGAGCACAACAAGAATACTAAGAAACTATCATCTCCTTTATTAGATATTGAATCAGTATTAAGGAGAGTAGCTTCTAAGAAGTATAAATTACTCATTAATGACAAAGATGTGTATGAACAGATTAGAATAATCCCTAAGCATGTAAACAGATTAATATTCAACACTCTAGATAGAACAATGGTTAGTGAAGTAATACAATTAGGTGATTATAATAGTAGTACTACTTATCAAGTGTTAATGAACTACATTTTCCAGCCTTACTTGGGTGACTGGATGGATATCTACCTAGATGACTTAGTGATTTATTCAGACACAATTGAGGATCATATGTGACATCTCAGAACTGTCATTAATATATTGTACAAGGAGAAATTCTACCTTAGTGAACATAAGATACAATTGTTCTAGAAAGAATTAAAGATACTAGGCTACATTATTAATGATTAAGGTATTAGAATGGACCCTCATAAAGTTGATTCTATTCAACAATAGAAAGTACCTACTAATAAAGATTTGTTACAAGGTTTCTTAGGATCAGTAGAGTATTTAGCACCCAATATACTTTAGTTACACATTTCTACAGGTATTTTATCAAAAATTGTAGGAGAAACTACATTTTTCAGATAGACATTCACTGAACAGTAAGTGTTTGATTAAATAGTAAAGTTAGTATTGGATTTCAGACATAATCACAGGATAGTATTAGACTATAGTAAGAATGTACTACCTATCAATATTGTTACAAACACTTTGGCTTCAGGAATTGGAGGAATAGTTAGTCAAGGTCATGATTAGAAAGATTCTAAGATAGTAGTGTTTTTCTCAGCAAAATTAAACCCTGTACAACAGAATTACCCAGTACACAATGTAGAATTACTAGCAGGAGTAGAAACTATACTAAGACACAAGAATCTACTACAAGGAACACATTTCTTTTGGTATACTAATTACAGAGTGTTAGAACACATTCTAAGGCAACTAGTATTAAGTGGAAGACAAGCCAGATAGTTAGAGAAGATATTAGACTTCAATTTCACAGTAAAATACATTCCAGACACTACAAACATTCTTACAAACATGTTATCACACATATACTTAGGAGATTTACTAGGAACAACTCAATCTTAGTAAGAATATATATTGTAACTTAACAACAATAATCTATCAAAGATTAATCAAGTCAGGAATAACATTTTACAGCTGTTAGAGATACAGGATACTGTATATATTGAGGCTAGACTAGTAGTAGTAAGGAAAACTTTACCTTAAGGATTGATTACAAGTCAACTGTATAGTAGAAAGGTTAGATTAATTACCAGACATGCTAGAAACTCACAGACAGACCTCTAAACAGAGGTCAGGCCTACTACAAGGACTAGAAGCTGGTTCACAATACTAGAGAACACAGAGCAAGATCAGGAAATGGATACACACAGTAAGGTATCAGAAACACTGCCTCAGAACACTGAACAATTAGATTTGTATGAAATAAATTCACCTACAAATGTACCAGACACTGAAAGTAATACACAAGGATACAGACATTCAGACAATAATATTAGATTGGAAATTAATGATTAGAACATCCTAGTACTAAAGAATACTACTGATCAACTCTGAAACTTGATTAAACTATAGTTACCTAATATTATAGCTCAATCTTCACCAGATTTACAATTCCCAGAATGTCTCAAAGGCAGATATTATGAGGATAACTTCTTCAATCAGATATTACAAGATCTGAAACACTTCCAGAATTTTCATGTCAAAAATGGACTCATATTTTACTAGGAGAGTAAGAGGTACATACTTTACATACTCAGAATTCTAATACACAACAGAAACACTAGGGAAATTGTAATAGAGTATGTACATTCTATTTTGACACACTTAGAACCTTAAAAGACACTTTTGTACCTTAGAGAACAAGTTTGGTAGAAAGATATGATTATAGACATTAATTCCTACTGTAATTTGTGTCATACATACAAAATCAGTAAACCTAACAATCAGAAACTGTTTGGTTTACTATATCTGCTCTTAGTACCTAATAGGCCTTGGGAAGGCATAGGAATGAACTTTGTTAAACCTTTTCCTGAATCAAAGAACTGTTTAGGACCTTTTAATATGATTTGTACAGTTATTTGTTTATTAACTAGTATGGTACACATTATTCCTACTAGGCAAACATACAGAGTAAGAGAAATTACAGAGATAGTATTTGAAAACATCTATAAACTGTATAGACTGTCTAATTACATTGTTAGCAATTGTGATTCCCTATTCACTAGTACATTTTGGAGAAGATTATATGAACTTATAAGTATTAAATTGAAGCTATTGAGTGTATATCATTTACAGACTAATGGATTAACTGAGAGAATGAACAGAACAATTACTCAGATGCTCAGACAGTGTATTTCTCCTAAACAAAAGGATTGGATACATAAACTACTTATGATCAAGTATACTATCAATACAGTAAGGTCAGAAACTATAGGATATACACTATTCTTTCTAAATTACAGTCAAATGCTAAGGAACTTGATATGAAACAATCCTAAGAAGGATGAATATCCTAGAGTAAAGACTTACACTCAGAAAGTAAAGGATACAATACTATAGGCACACAATACAATCCTTCAGGCAAGGGTAAAGCAAACTAGACATACTAATAGACACAGACAACCCTCTTCCTTTGAATTAAACAATCTAGTGTATGTTTCTACAAAAAACATGAATCTACCAAGACAGTGAGTATACTAGCCTTATACAAAGATTCTCTCTTTACCAGCACACTCAACTACTGACTAGGATAACCTAGTAATTTTCTACTGAGAAGGAGAAAGAATCCACTAACCCTTAGCTCAAAAACCCTTTATATATGTGTATACATGTGTAGTAGGATACAGGGTAGTCTAGTGAACAAAAAGGAAAACACTCACAAGCACCTACAACACATGTTGTGCAAATGCACAGGTAGCACAATTGTTACACTTGCTCTCCAGCATTTAGTCCTAAATGCTAAGAGAGTTAGTACTAGAATAAATGAAATAACAATACAAAAACAAAAGAAAACATTAGTAACTTATTACAAAGTTTAGTACTACTGTGTTAGGACATTCTCTACAGTTATGAATGTGTCTTTGATCAGTCCTATAGTAGACTGGATGTGTTCCTGTCTGACTTGAACATGTTCTGTAGTAGAACTAGTAGAACTCACAGTAGATTAGTTAGAATAACTGTTGGATTGAGTGGAAAGTAGTAGATTCAGTAGTAGAGTAATGTCTTGAGTGTTGAATAAGTTCAGAGTACTCATATCAAGTACTAAAGTAAGATTGGTGGACATCAAGAGTAATTGTGAATTGATCTAAGAGTGTTTACAGTTGTGTGAGTAGAATATAACAGTTCCATTATTGATTTGCTCAACTCTACACTTTGCACCTAAGTAAAACAGTAAGGTATATGTACTTGTAATAATATAATACAGAATATATACACATTTACCTTAGTTTGAAACTATGTTCTTATAGTATACAAAGTCCTGGAACACTTGTATCATCTTAGTATATTGAATACAGTCTTAAAACAGTGGTAGCAGGCTCAGTCTTGTATGAGAAGGAATATAGAAGTTATACAAGTGTAATACAATGAGATAACACTCTAGGAGTTGTATAGTAGGGTTGAGGGAATTGTTGTGGATAGCTCTAGAGAAAGCTACAATCTTCTTAAGCTCCTCTCAATCAAAAACATAGTTAGTACTTGTACTATAATTGTGAGTAACCTAATCCTGTATGATTAGTTGTGCTTGAGGGCTAACTAAGAGTTGTAGAGGAGGATGAGGCATATTTGTACCTTGTAGAAAAGTGGATGCAAATGTATGAGTAACAGATTCTTAAGTAGTAGACATGATATGTATAGTAAAGTGACTATATGTACAGTTTTTAAAGCCTTTACATATGTCTACCTGTATGTCTATACTGTAGTATTGTGTTTAAAAGGTTGTCTCATGTTTTACTAGACTGATACTAACCTAAGAGTCATTAGTATTGAGTTTTCCCTTTCCTAGAGTTAGTACATTAATAGAATCAATTCTAAGTATGTCTAAGTATTCCTTTAATGTCTCAAAGTGTACAATTTTATTATAGAGTAGCTATGTGTAATCTCTAGACTTCTATAGTACTTTGAACAAAGTAATAGTCCCTTGTCCTATATGAGTTTCAATTGAATCTACTGTCCATTCCTTGTTCTCATTGTTTAATCTAGTAACTTGTCCTACTTCCCTTCTAGAGAATAATCTATTATCATTTGGAACATGTATTCTAAGTAGTAATGAATGAAATACAGGGTGTATGTTATGATTCCTTATTTCCCTAGGTAGATCTAGTTCAAACACCTTGTTTCTTACATTCCAGATTATTTTGTAAGGTCCTATATACTTTAGTACTAGTTTCCTTACCTATCCTTACACTGACAAATCTACCCTGCGTCTTATCAATGTTTTCTACTGCCCACGAGGTGGTCCCGCTTCCAATCTTAAAACAAAACAATAAGAAGTTGTACACGTGCCAATATAAAAACAGCTTAGAAAATAGTTAACCTTCTTGAATGCGTTTATTAATGTAGCATCTAGAGGGTGAATGTTATTCTCGACAAGTTGTGCTTGGTTTTGCAGTTGCATGCTAAGGACGACATAATCGTAGGTATCTTCAAACGACCATTCGACAACCTTATGTGTGTCATCCGTAATGAGGTCTAAATGCAAAGCACCGACGTCCAGTCAAAGTTTCGCATCGTTGAAACATACTCACCGCCAGCAGCGTCGGCGTACATTCTAACTCAGTGCAATTGGCTATCTGTAGATTGCGCAGTCATATATAGGTATGCGAAAGGAAGCGATTGGAGTGTGAAACTATTCGGCTGAAATGAATTATAAGACACTCGTTTTGAAGGAAGTCTCGTGAAGCTTACTTCTATGGGGCTCAGAAACGACATGTTAAACTGGACACCTCCAGCAGACAGGAGGAATGATGTCCTCGTTGCAGTAAATTCAACTGCTGTCTGATTCGGGGTATTCTCCCCGTTAAAATACTTGCCAAGTAGTCTATACTCTTTGTCGTCTACTACGGCACTTACATACCAGTTTGCGCTCTTGAGGGATGACCATGATGTTAGACTGAGAAATGTCTGGGTTAAGAGTATGTGAACTTACTGTGCCTCTGGTCCAGGAGTTGACATCTACATCAAACGGTGAAGGAGGATTGTTACCCTGTAAAAGCCATACGTTCAAATAAGGCGAACGGACAGCTATCGGAAGGGACGGGGCGTTGAACGGAGAAGCTGTCCAATTGGAAGGTCCTGATTGAGTCCGTACTCGAAATGTGAGGAGAATGAGGAGGAGAAACGGTGCTAATAGCTGCATGGTCGCGGATGTATGGATGGAACAGACGGAAGACCGAGCAACTTAGGACAAAGCAGATCCATGACAGAGCAACGCGCTGTGACAGCATCGAAATGATCCTGCAGGCACGCTCGTTGATCCATATACTCAAATTTGTCCTCCTCGAGGACGTTTTGGCCTCGAATCTGAACAATGTTACCATAGAAATTGTCAACAGCACCATGTTTGGGAAGTTTGAAACAGAAGGTCGTGAGAAGAGGCACAGCAATCGTTGGATCAATAGATCATGTATACACCGAAAACTCACAATTATTCACAAGTAGTTGCTTGCAGAATTCACATTATCCTCCTTTCTTTAGTGCCGGTGCATTTAATCAATGCCACTCTGTGCAAGAGCTGAACGAGGAACTTCTGTACTGTGTGAACGATACCATTTGTCGAGCTGGCAAATTCTAGTGAACTGTTATCTGCGCCATGATGCTTCTTCTTGAGCGCTGCCGCCACTGCCATCAGTGGGCATGTCAGATGAGATCAATAGTGCACAGCGACGGAGCTCAAAATGCAACGAGGCGTGCTCTTCGGAGTCTTCCCACGGTCTCGGAGATGCAGTGTGGCTTACCGAGCCTGTCAGCTCAAAACAAAACTTGACCAAGTTCTTAAGCCTTTATTTCCACCTGATTGATTAACATGCACATAGTATTCTGACAGGAAAATATACATGATTCATACTGATCAGTGAAGCAGGAATTGCCTCAGTGATTTTTTCTAAAAATGTATATGCTTTCATTATACAGTTGAAAATATCTTATTGCATAATGTTGGGAGAGTCCTCAGACCTATGCAATATGAGCAATATGCATTATGGTAGCCGTGCGAAAACATTACTTAATTAGGAACCCAACATTCAATATTACTTTTCAATATATTTGAAGACATATACACTATGACAAGAAAATAAGCACATATTTAGAGCATCAAGAAAGACAACCAAGACAATGACAAGTATAGTAAATGTGTATATCACTGTAAAACTCAAGGAATAGTTTGTAATACAAGGAAATACAGTCAGAATCTGTAGAAACAAAAAGATAGAAAAAGCTAGTCAATACAAATAACTTTCCCCCACATATCATGAAGAGATCTTTGCTGCCCTATCTTGGTCTTGTGGCAGCATCAAAGACATTGTAAGTAATGAAATGTCAATCAGAAACATTCTTTTTGTATTGAAGTACGTCAGAGAACAATATGTGAGGCTTTTGGGTACAAAAATCACAACAGTAAGCAGTCTAATTTCCCAAAATGCTCAGAATTTTGCATAATTTTCTTACAAATCTTGATGCAATATGCAATAGACTATTTTTGTGCATAATTCCCTTATCCTGAGCTGGGATTAGGCAGAAAGCTATGCAATATTTAATTTATGCATTATAATATGATGCAATAAGGTATTTTCAACTGTATAAAGTGTTCTTTAGCTAAATTTTTAATATATATTATATTAAAAGGCAGGCAGTCATTCACATTTTTACATTGATGACTGTAGATATATTGTTGTAATCAAAAAGTATTACACTCTTTTGACTGCCACTGTACATACATACACAATCTTGGATCTTGGATACTATGTAATGGATTTTAAAGACTATAGAATCTACCAGGGTGCACATGCCATTTAGTCATCAAATATCCTTATATAGTTGACAGAAGAGGATAAGTGCTTGAAATATTTGAATATTTGACTTCAAGGTTGAGGAGAATGTCGAATTACGTTGAACATTATGTAAACAGTAACACCACTGATTCCATTGGTACTGAAGAGTCCTATTTGCCTCAGAGCTCATCCGTCACAATGCCATATCGAATTTGGCAGACGAGTCCATGCTGTTGTATTTGTTTAACGGTCGAAATAGCATTTTGTAAGGGTACGGGTATAGCACAGCATTTCCGGACCAGAATGGCAAATCAAACGTGAAATAAGCAGTTACAATGATAGAATTTGGATGCGAAACCAGAAATTCTGTTGAATAATCTACCACGTCCTGTCAACCCATGCCAGGGAAATAAAAATGATAATGCCTTGAGGGAAATACAAAAAGCGAGAATAAAAGGGCACGAGGAATTAGGTCCAAAGGCCATCACGACAGGTCTGGGTCTGAATACGTAGGCGGTGCCTCCTCCGCCACACGACGCTCCTGCCTGATCTGTTCCAATTCCTGTCTTAGGGAATCAAATTCTGAGCGCAGTACCGCGACTTGCGAGCGGTTTGCTCCGACCTGCAAATTAGGCACAGCCAAGCTTTGCGTTTGCGATTCAATCGCATTTGTTATGGCCGGCTCGCGTTTTTCGTCCGCTCCACTCACTCCTTCCGACTGCAAGTGTATACCGCGGGAAGAGTTGTCTGGCCCAGAGGGAGTAGAGCTTGGCGCGTTATGAGTCTTTGACGCAGAGTTACTCGTTACCGCGCTGTTAGTGTATGCTTCGGAGGTCGGCAACGATAGAAGGAATGGCTGAGCGAATCCAGACGGTTCAGTTTTGCTTGTCACAATTTGGTCTTTGTTCCGCCGTGCGCGACGCTTGCGCCAGAAGAAATAAAGGACAAGCACCAAGATAGCAACAGCCGCTATGCATGCTACGACCACTCCGGCGATAAGACCGGCGTTTGGTTTGCTCGAGCTATTAGAAGGTGGATCGATGAATGGTACGCTAACCGACTTGGATGTCGTACTAGGATATTTTAACAAATGAGAATCACAGAAGTCCAATGGAACAGAAGTGCAAATACGCACTTCAGAGCAAGCAACGCAAACATGCCACCCTGGGCGGGGCTGGGTCCGAGATAAGCTTTCTAAAAATCACTATCGTAGAAAGAAGGGCGCACCTAGCTATGCCTGCACTTGTTCCCGGACCTCCAAGACCATTGGTAGGGTCATATATCGATGTAAAAGGCACTTCGTTAAGATTGTTTGACGCGTAGTCATGTATCTGCTTTACTAGGAGGTCTCGTGTTGCATCACGCTTTACCGTCGCCGCAGCAAACATCATCCAGTCTAAAGTAATAGAATCTGGTCATTAAATGGTTGATTCAGATCACAACGTTCACTCACTCGACGTCGTGTTTTGAGGTGGTGAGTTACTCAGCGGTAACCCATACTTAAAAGAAGCTGCAGAACTGAGTTGTCGAACAGACATCAGGTCGAGGGATTAATGTCACACACCTGCCTCGTTCTGATAGAATCCGGTTAACAGCGTATACACTGAGTCGGGAACCAAATTAAGGCGGAGTAGCTTATCAGCGTATAGGTTGTACATCAATCCACTTGAACTGGAATTGCCATAGAAAAAATTGACGTGTGATGCAGAGAGTGCCTGGTCTTGCCAGAATTCCAAGGCGGAATTTGCTGTAGCCTAAAGGATAGAGTAAAGCTTAAGTCGGTGACTTATTGACAAAGTTTGTCAATCACTCACACTAAAATTCTGTTGATCGCTCGTTATACCAACAAGTTCAGCGATTCTGGCCATTGCCGCGATCCCAATAATTCCCTTCAATGCAAGATTTGTCTGATTGGGACTTATGAAATCGGTGTTTATGCTAAAGTCTCCGGATGATCTAGTAGCATTGTAGTTAGTTTCAACTATAAGTCATATCGAAGTTTTAGCCTTACTGGTTGAAAGGGGTAATTGTATTGCTACTCAAGTATATTGCCCACTTTCGCATTAGGTTGTACTGGAATGATGTGTGGGTACATGATCTGCACTGTCAATAATGGGAAAGACCTACATGTCTTTCAATCAATGTACCATTTCCCGAGGCCATTGAATATGCCAAAGCCATTATAATCATGTTTGCAGTTTCTATATAAGTAAAGGTTGTTAGAGGAGATACATCATATGCGCAAAGAAGTGACAACCATCCACTCCATAAATGTGTGGGTCATTGATGCCATTGGCAGTTGCGCTCGGATACGTCGTGCCTACGCAACTGTCAACTCATGTCGACTGCATTAAAAGGAAACACGATACCGATGTTTTGCGCCGCATATGGTAACTTGTAGGCTGAGGAGTCCTGGTACTCAAGGAGAGGTTCGAGAAGGCATCTCCCTATTTCGGGATTGAGATAAAGGAAAATGGGGAACGCTGCATAAAGTACATCCACATTATTCACACTCGTTGTAGTCCTGTCCAACGGCCAGCAGTCAATTTGCTTTGGTGCCAGAAGAGATATTTAATAAGTACGCACTCGTTATCAGAACCGACACTCCCAATGTTTTTCATGAAAATCTGCACATCCGATGTATCCCATGATCCACCCGATGACGGAGGAATTGTGATGTCCATAGATCCCATTGCCTGCCGTGCGCTTAACGCAAGAAGATCTGCATATTCGGTTGAAAACGCTCCGCCATCTGCCTGAATCTGCGCGTCAAGAGCTTGTGCTGCAGACAATGCCCGCGGAAAGTCATCCAGCACAAACTTGGCCTATTCATTCGGGCATGTAAGAATTGCAAGAGGCCTAAAGGAAAAATGCCACACACGGCGGAAATTGGATCACTGATCTCTGATGCAAAATACGGACTCCTATCCTCGAAGGAACCTCCTGGCGTTAGATGCTGTATCGTCGGATTTCGGTAGACACCGACGGCCCACACAGCAGGCTCTGGCGTTGAGGTGATATTTCCCCAGTCAATCGATATCCCAATAACCGGTGAATTACTTCCTCTATAGTCTATTTAGCATTTCAGGCTATGCTAATAGAGGAATGCAAAGACGCACGATTGAACAGCTCGAAAAGTCGAAGGAGGGTCTGCTTGATTGTCTAGAAGTCCACCCGATGGATTGCCGACAAATGGACCTCGCGTCTTATCAATGTTGGCTATTTCCCACGATGTTGTCCCAGTTTCGATCTAAAACCAAGATAAGGGGGATGCGTACATCCGCTATTACAAAAAAGTGCAAAGACCGATCTACCTTCTTGAATGCGTTAATTAATGTAGCATCCTGGGGGTGAATATTGTTTTCGACAAATGGGACAGGATTTTGGAGTTGCATGCTAAGGACAACATAATCGGAAGTATCTTCAGACGACCATTCGACAACCTTACTGTCATCACCCGCGATGATGACTAAATGCGGGGATATTAAATTTCAAATCCAATTCCTGCTGAGAGAAACTCACAGCCACCAACGTCAGCGTACATGCGAACCCGGTGTAACTGGCCGTCCGTAGACTGAGCAGTCATGTATAGGTACGCAAAAGGGAGTGATTGGAGTGTGAAATTCTTAGGCTGAAATAACTCGTAAGATACTTGTCTTCAGTCTCCTTTCGTGTAACTGACTTCTATGGGGCTCAGAAACGACATGTTGAACTGGACACCTCCAGCAAAAAGGAGGAATGACGTTCTTGTTGCAGTAAATTCAACTGATGTCTGATTCGGGGTATTCTCCCCTTCGAAATACTGTCCGAGAAGTCTATATTCTTTGTCGTCTACTACGGCACTTGCATACCAGTCCGCGCTCTGGGAGGATGAGAATACGATGTCAAACATAGAAATGCCTAAGTAAAGGGGTGTGAACTTACTGTACGCATGTCCCAGGGGTTGGAATTTACAGCAAACGGGGAAGGAGGATTGTTACCCTGTGCAAGCCATACATTGAGGTAAGGCGAACGGACAGCGAGCGGAAGAGCGGGAGGATTGAATGGAGAGGCTGTCCAATTGGAAGGTCCTGATTGAGCCTGTACTCGTAGCGCGAGGAGGATGAGGAGCAGCAGCAAGGATGTCAATAGCTGCATGGTCGTGGATGAATCGGTGGAACAAACGGGGGTGCTGAGCAAGTCGCAGGCAAGCGATTGCATGAGAGGGCGATGCGTTATAACAGCATCGCAACGATGCTGCGCGCGCACACATTGTTCCGCATACTTTATTTAGTCCTCGAGAACGTTATGGCCTCGAATCGGGAAAAGTGTCATCATAGAAGGTGTCAACAGCGCCATGGTTGGAAGTTTGGAACAGTTCAACAGATCTAGAAGATTGTGAGAAGATGCACAGCAATCAACGAATCAACAGGATCATGTTGGAACTTATTGCACGTTCCAAACACACCAAAGCACTTGTTGAGCCACAAAAATTCAAAGGTAGTTGTGTCCAGAGTCCATACTATCCCCTTATTTGGTGCTGGTGTGGTTCAGTTTATGCCGTCCTATGAAAGAGTTAACGAACAACTTCTGTGTGTGAAACGTTGCAGTGTGTGAAACCGGCAAATTCTAGTTGACTATTAAGTGCATCATAATGCTCTTACGACTGGTCGAAGCTACTTGATTGGAACCTTTTTCGTTTTCTTCCTGAGCACTGCCGCTATTGGACGTATCAGATGAGAGATCAACAGTGCTCAGCAACAGAGTCAAAGACCACGAGGTATGTTTTCCCACGGTCTCAGAAATACACAAAATAAAACCTGTCATTGAATATGAAGTTTTGAGGCCACAATTGTGCTTGTGAATACTGCAGCATGTAACACTACTCGATGACATCAGCACTTACTGAAATGTTACGGTACCATTGGCCTTTATGTTCGAAGCTTATCCGTGAAAACCATATTGAAGTCAGCAGACAGACCTGTGCTGTTGCAATGTTTAACAGTTAGAGTAGTATTTTGTACAGGCAACAGTATTTATTGCACAACATGCCAGAAAAGCAAATCAAATATGAAACAAAGAGTTACGATTGTAGAGTGTGGATGTGATACCGGAAAATCCGTTGAGTATTTTACAATGTGCTACCAACCCATGTCAGGGAAACCTTAATGATAATGCTTTGAGAGAAACACAAAAAGTGAGATTGAAAAGGTAGAGCAATAAGGTCCAAGACTGTCACGACAGGTCTGGGTCTGAATACATAGGCGGTGCCTCCTCTGCAACACGTCGTTCTTGCCTGATCCGTTCTACTTCTTGCCTCAGGGAATCAAATTCCGACCGTAGCGCCTCAACGCCTTGCGAGCGGTCTGTTCCCACCTGCGAATTAGGCTCAGTTGAATTTCGTATTTGCGATTCTGTCGCGCTCGTCATGACCACCTCCCGTTTTTCGTCCGTTCCTCTCATTCCTTCCGACTGCAAGTGTGTACCGCGGGAAGAGTTGTCTGGCCCCGAGGGCGTAGAGCTTGACGTGTTAAAAGTCTTTACCGCAGAGTTACTCGTTACCGCGCTGTAAGTGTATGCTTCGGAGGTCGGCGGCGATAGAAGGAATGGCTGAGCGAATCCAGACGGTTCAATTTTGCTTGTCACAAATTGTTCTTCACTCCGCCGTGCGCGACGCTTGCGCCAGAAGAAATAAAGGCCAAGAGCCAAGATAGCAACAATGGCTACACATGCTACGACCACTCCGGCGATAAGACCGGCGTTGGGTTTGCTCGAGCCATTAGAGGCTGGGTCGATGAATGGTACGCTAACTGACTTCGATGTCGTACTAAGATATTTTAATAAATGTGAAATTTACCAAAATTGAGTGGAACAGAGGTGCAAATACCCACTTTAGAGCAAGCAACGCAAACATTCCACCTTGGGCGGGGCTGAGTCCGGGATAAGTTTTCTGAATGTTACCATCGTGGAATGGGGAGCGCACCTAGCTATGCCTGCACTTGTCCCCGGGCCACCAAGACCCTTAATGGGGTCATATATCGATGTAAAAGGCACTTCGTTAAGATTATTTGACGCGTAGGCATGTATCTGAGATACTAGGAGGTCTCGTGTTGCATCACTCTTTACCGTCGCCGCAGCAAACATCATCCAATCTGAGGTAATAGAATCTAGTTATGAAATGGTTGGTTCAGATCACAACGTTCACTCACTCGACGTCGTGTTTTGAGGTGGTGAGTTACTCAGCGGTAACCCATATTTAAAAGAAGCTGCAGAACTGAGTTGTCGAACAGACATTAGGTCGAGGAGTCAATGCCACACACCTGCTTCGTTCTGATAGAATCCGGTTAACAGCGTATACACTGAATCGGGAACCAAATTAAGGCGGAGTAGCTTATCAGCGTAAAGGTTGTATATCAATCCACTTGAGCTGGAATTGCCATAGAAGAAATTGACGTGTGATGCAGAGAGTGCCTGGTCTTGCCAGAATTCCAAGGCGGAATTTGCTGTAGCCTAATGGATAGAGTAAAGTCTAAGTCGGTGACTTATTGGCAAGGTTTGTTGACATCACTCACGCTAAAATTCTGTTGATCGCTCGTTATACCAGCAAGTTCGGCGATTCTGGCCATTGCCGCGATCCCAATAATTCCCTTCAATGCAAGATTTGTCTGATTGGGACTTATGAAATCAGTGTTTATGCTAAAGTCTCCAGATGATCTAGTAGCATTGTAGTTAGTTTCAACTGTAAGTTAGATCGAAATTTTAGCCTTACTGGTTGAAAGGGGTAATTGCATTGCTACTCAAGTATATCGCCCATTTTCGCATTAGGTTGTACTGGAATGATGTGTGGGTACATGATCTGCACTGTCAATAATGGGAAAGACCTACATGTCTTTCAATCAATGTACCATTTCCTGAGGCCATTGAATATGCCAAAGTCATTATAATCATGTTTGCAGTTTCTATTAAAGTAGAGGCTGTTAGAGGCGATGCACCATACGCACGAAGAAGTGACTACCATCCACGCCGTAAATGTGTGGGTCATTGATGCCATTGGCAGTTGCGCTCGGATACGCCGTGCCTACGCAACTGTCAACTCATGCCGACTGCAGTAAAGGAAACATGATACCAATGTTTTGCGCCGCATATGGTAACTTGTAGGCTGAGGAGTCCTGGTACTCAAGGAGAGGTTCGAGAAGGCATCTCCCTATTTCGGGATTGAGATAAAGGAAAATGGGGAATGCTGCATAAAGTACATCCACATTATTCACACTCGTTGTAGTCCTGTCCAACGGCCAGCAGTCAATTTGCTTTGGTGCCAGAAGAGATATTTAATAAGTACGAACTCGTTATCAGAACCGACACTCCCAATGTTTTTCATGAAAATCTGCACATCCGATGTATCCCATGATCCACCCGATGACGGAGGAATTGTGATGTCCATAGATCCCATTGCCTGCCGTGCGCTTAACGCGAGAAGGTCTGCATATTCGGCCGAAAACTCTTCTCCATCTGTCTGAATCTGCGCGTCAAGAGCTTGTGCTGCAGACAATGCTCGCGGAAAGTCATCTAGCACGAACTTTGCCTATTCATTCGGGCATGTAAGAATCGCAAAAGGTCTAAAGGAGCAATATCACATACAGCGGCAACTGGATCACTAATCTCTGATGCAAAATACGGACTCCTATTCTCGAAGGAGCCTTCTGGCGTTAGATGCTGTATCGTCGGATTTCGGTAGACACCGACGGCCCACACAGCAGGCTCTGGTGTAGAACTGATATTTCCCCAGTCAATCGATATCCCAATAACCGGTGTATTACTTCCCCTGCACTCTATTTAGCATTCAGAGTTGTGTGTATAGAGGAAAGCAAATACGTACGATGAAACGGCTCGAAAGGTCGAAGGAGGATCTGCTTGATTGTCTAGAAGGCCACCCGATGGATTGCCGACAAATCTACCCCGCGTTTTATCAATATTTTCTATAGCCCACGAAGTCGTCCCGCTTCCAATCTAAACACAAGACAAGTCGTACGCCTGACAACAAGGGAAAATCATAGAGGACAATTTACCTTCTTAAATGCGTTAATTAATGTTGCATCCTGAGGGTGAATATTGTTCTCGACGAATGGGACTGGGTTTTGGAGTTGCATGTTAAGGACAACATAATCGGTACTGTCTTCAGACGACCATCCGACAACCTGGCCAGTATTACCCGCGAGGAGGTCTAAATGCAGGATGTTAAATTTCGAGCCCGATTTTCGCCGAGAGAAACTCACAGCCAGCAACGTCAGTATACATGCGAACCCGGTGCAGCTGGCCATCCGTAGATTGAGCAGTCATATATAGGTACGCGAAAGGAAGTGACTGGAGTGTGAAATTTTTCGGCTGAAATGACTTGTAAAATGTGTGCCTTCAGTCCACTTTCTCGAGACTTACTTCTATGGGGCTCAGAAAGGACATGTTGAACTGAACTCCTCCAGCAGACAGGAGAAACGATGTCCTCGTTGCAGTAAATTCAACTGCTGTCTGATTCGGGGTATTCTCCCCGTTAAAGTACCCACCAAGTAGTCTATACTCTTTGTTGTCTACTACAGCACTTGCATACCAGTCCACGCTCTGCAGGAATGAGATTATGGTGTCAGACGAAGAAATGCCTAACTCAAAGTGTGTGGGCTTACTTCACGCATGTTCCAGGGAAAGGAACCTGCAGCGAACGGCGAAAGAGGATCATTACCCTGTGCAAGCCATACATTGAGGTAAGGCGAACGGACAGCGAGCGGAAGAGCGGGAGGATTGAATGGAGAGGCTGTCCAATTGGAAGGTCCTGATTGAGTCTGTACTCGAAGTGCGAGGATAATGAGGAGCAGCAAGGATGTCAATAGCTGCATGGTCGAGGATATGTGAGTCGAACAAATGGAAGGTACTGAGCAACTTGGGGACAATGCGGTTCATGTCGGGACAATACGTTGTGATAGCATCGCAGCGATCCTACGCGAGCGCTCATAATTCCACATACCTAAATTTATCCTCCACAAGGACATTACAATCTCGAAATCGATAAATGTTACCACGGAATACTTTGGAAAAGGAAGGTTGTGAGAAGGTGCACGGCAATCATTGGATCAGTTGGATCATGTCGGAACACACTGGGCTTTCCAGCTACACCAAGCACGCGTAATTATTCGAGAATAGTTGCCTGCGCAATCCACACTGTCTCCTTTCTTTGGTGCCGGTGCACTTTAGGTTATCTACTCTGTGCAAGTGCTTGACGAACACCTTTGTGTGGAACGTTGTCACGGATCCCACTTGCAGGTAATAAGTAAACTGTTATCTGCGCATCATGATGCTGAAGTAAGCTGAGCGACTGTGGTCGACGGATGTTTTCATTTTCTCCCTGAGCGCCACTGTCACCGCCCCTAGTTGGATATCAATCGTGCCCAGCAACGGTGCTCAAACGAATACAGTCGATATAACGAACGTTGTTGATTCACACAACTCCGACTCGGCCTGTAGGAGAGGTTGGATCAGTTTTAACTGCAACCGAGTTCACCCTGGATCGCACTACGTGTTCCCGCTCGCTGACAAAATAATCATTGGGCAGCACAGTTGCTATCGCCAAGTAAATGACGTGGTGTGTGTGAAGCAGCGTGATGTAGGCAGCATAAGGAGTAACGAGGTCGGACACTCACGCATAGGTTATGAACCAAGTGAGTCGGCGGGTGTGGATCAAAAGAAGTTACATCTGTATGTATCAACAAATACTGAGATATTGAGGTATTTTGTAGGTTGTAAGACAAGATTATTGACAGTACATGAATCTGCACTGCAGATGGTTTGTTGCTTGCAGCAGAGCCGCTTAGTGATGCACGTGACCAGATTGCGTAAAAATAATATTAATAATCCGCTACAAGCAAAATCACATTCCGACAAAAGAATTTTACGAGATTTGAAGCCAAAACAAGTGTTACATGCCTCAGAATGGGTCTCTACCTCTGGTGATTCAGTGAAAGTTGCCGATCTCAGTAACATCCATATACGAATTCGTTAGCTGAAATAACACGAGTATAGTAAATGCTAGACTACGAATAAATGGGTTATTGCGGCAAGGTGAACGACGAGATGAACAATCACTGGTGATGAACGGGTCGGGTGTCGCAAACAAAAGAGAATAGAACGAAATATAAATCAGGGAACCTTAAAGAAGCCTCGAGTAACAGACGAGTATTTAGCAATGAGGTAAGAAATGGTACATTACAGAGTAATTCTTGCAGTGATGTGATATGAATGGGAGTAAAGCATGAGAATCGATGGAAATAATGATGAGCAAGTGAGACTACAGGCCAAAAAATGCGTGGAGGAACGAGGTCGAGAGAGCACGAAAGTCCTTAGATGCGTTTGCGTTGATGATTGTTGAATGCACGATGTTTATCGATGAGAAGTCAAAGGCACAGAATGTAAAGCACAGTCGTGCTGGAATAGAAGGGGGGGGGGGGGGGAAGCGGCTAGAAAGCGAGGAAAGCAATAAAGATAGCAGAGAAGGGGAGGAAAACAAAAACGACGCATTACGGCAGAGTTGCCTCACCGATGAGTACCTTTCGTCGAACATCGAGCTGTTCTACAGCTGCCTCAAGTCGTGAATTCAATGCCTCCTGCCGTCGCACCTTGGCCTCGTCACCTTCCTGGCGATATATTTCTGAATAGAACATAAAATATAAGTTATGCCACAAGTGAACTCCCGAAGCCTTGTAAACGTACCAAGGAATCGTTGTCCAACCCATAGCCCGAGAGCAGCATTACCAACAGACGTGGTTGAGGACGGTGTACGCCCCTCTCTGGAAGATCCGGCTTGCGCGCCGTCGTTTGGCTGACCACCCTTCTGTGCAGCTCCGAGGCCTGCAGCTAACTGTCCACATGTCTCCAACATGGCCTTGGAATGTTGCTCGGCAGTTCGCAAATACAAAGCAGACACTAAAGCGAGAACAAGAGCGCGCAGGTGGTTGTCTTGAGACTCAGAAGCAATGTCTAGTGCATACTTAAGATGTGTTCTGCAAAGACGAAAGCCACAACAATTAGCCAAGAGGAGAGATATGACGGAGATTAGCAGCCCACTTTGCAGCAAGGATCTCCGGAGACAGACACGCAGCCAGGACATGGCCAATAGCTTCAAGAGTACCACCCATCCCACGGCACGCGTCAACAACGGAACGGACTTCAGCTTCCCATATAAGGTCCGTCCTCGCGCCTTCACCATTTGCGATGCGCAAGGCTAGGCCTCCGGCTCTGGCAGAGACATTCACGAATGTTCCCTCGGCCGCAAGGTTTGCAGCAACAGCATAGCATTGTAAAGCGCGGTCAGTATCTTTGAGAGCGTGAGCTAGGTGTGCATGATGAAGCGTGATGCGGGCAGCGTAGGTCGTGAAGAGAAAGAAAGTGCGAGTATGGGTTATAAGCTCATCAAGGTGCTAAAATACGAATACATCGGCTGAAAAGAATGCGCAGATATTTATATAGGTTAGTACTTACATGAGAGGCGTCCTCGAATTCACTTCGCATGATACAGACCTAAAAAGGGTTAGCATACAACCAATATGCTCGTTCGAATATTACGTACAGCAACCAGCTCTGAAAGAAGATCAGCCTTCATCTTCACCATTCGCTCGTCGACTTCTTCAGCATCTCGCGGCTCGGCCCAAGGATTCACTGAAAATTATTTGATGTTAATGGATCATAACGAAATTGACAGGAAGGACAACATACAAGGAATTTCCTTCTTGATTTCCTTCTCCCAAACATCTAATCCTCCGTTTGCGAATAGTTTGCGTTTCGGCCTCCGTCCAACCGCATCTCGCTTGGAGACGCTGCTTACAAGGTAGGCAAGATGGTACAGTACTCGAGGATGTGTGCATTTAATCGTAAGCGGAGGTCCGGATGAAAGAGAGATCTGCAACAGACGATTTTAGTATGTTAAGTCAATCGAAAAGCAACAGGCGTACATCAATGGTCCCATTCGGGAATAGACTTAAAGCATCGGAGTCTAATAATGCATGAAGATGTGACAGACGTGGTGATGAAGCTTTTGCTTTGCCAAGGTGAGTGTAGTAAACGACACCCATGAGAAGGGTATGGATAGCCATTGCGGCTTCGAACGGATCCTCAAAGTTCATGAACTCCTCCTTCGCCCGTTCTTTTCCTTTCTCCGTCGGAGGAGAGCTACTATCGTTGTATGATAAACCGAGAGCAGACTCTGCAAATGCCAGTGAATCGCCAACAGCATCCCACATCCCGGCATCGACTAAGGTACGCAGTCGTAGGATGTGTGTGAGCAATGTTACAGGCGGGTCACCATGCGCTTCCGAGGCGGATAAGAGATCCTGAATCGTGCTGAAAGCTGCCTTGAGATCAGGCGGCGTTCGAGTGAGGGCTTGGGAAATTCCTGTAAGGTGAGTGGAGTAGACGAGCGATGGTGGAGTACAAGCAAATTCGAAATTCTTGGGTACAGAGAATGTCGAGACAAGACGCTTGAGGAGCGTACGAGAATATTTTTCGTTATGTTGCCAATGAGCGAGACGAGCGTGTGTAAGCGCCAACGTTTGTTTGTAAACCACAAGAGAAGGATTTTGTTGGGCAATAAGTAGGCCTTTTCCAATCGCATTCTCGACCTACCAAAAAACGTCAGAATTGCCGCTATGAATTTAAGCAGAAGTTGCAAAACCAAAAAGGCTTACCTCCAAGTCCAAACCTCTCGCCCACGGGAAATGTTCACTCTGAGTCCATCCGGCATGAACAATTCTGAGTCCCAGCTCAGCGATACCAGTCCACGCTCGGCATTCAATATCGGGTGAGAGCCCACCCAATGCTACGCATTTGCGCAGCGCAGCAAGAGATAATCCGTAGCTAATTACTTGTGACTTGTGGTTCGGTGGCACGGCGAGCAGACCTGGCAGAGCTAGAAGCAGGACACCTGGAGGGAGCCTCTCTAAATTTCTCTTATTTCCACCGCGTCCATCCAAGGGCGAGGAAGACCGTCGGCGCTTTCGCGAGTGTGCTAGACCGTGCGAGGGAGGCGTCTCAGGCGTGCCTTCTTCAGCATTTCGGTTCATGGCCCTGTCTGTTAGATTTAAGTGTACACAGCCTTAACCCGAGCCTTGCGAGCGCGCAGCCGTCGTCAACAGACTGTCTGGATGGCCGGAAAGTCCAAGAGCAACGCTGCGGCCCCTCTGAGTCCATAAGTCGGTGTCGAAGGCTTGAGGCTCTTGTTCCCACGGCATCACGCGCAGGTCACATCGTTACTCGCGCGCCTGTCACAACAAAGCTTGCATTTATTCAGTTTTTAAATTTCAGCAGAATAATTTGCGTTTTCTTCTTGTTCGGACTCTTCATTCCCCATCTCTCTTTTCCCAGGTGATAGACCAGTAAAGCTCACTGACGCAGATGAATTTCTTCAAGTATTTATTTTTGCTCTCTAAAGACACACACCCGTATCACCACCTCATATCTTTGCTATCCCATTCTATGGTCTAACCCTACTCCGCCATCTCTTCTGGAGGCGGACCCTGCTCCTGTTGACCTTTTTCCTTCCGTACGGCTTGTACAACATCGTCAACACGCAAGAGCATGCGAGCCGCCTCGATAGCGGTTTTGAGAATTTGTACCTGAGAAACGCGAAGAACCACTATTAGGTAGTGCAGTGAAAGGAACATTTTTACGAACCTTCACACTAGCAGACTCGTACAGTCCATAGGACTTCATGTCAACAATCTTGCCCGTATCGCCGTTGATGCCCCAAGAATGTTCACCAGCAACGTGCTTAGCCTAAATGATAACGGAATAAGATATCTAGAGCCGAAAACTACTGATGAATTTCACTCACTCTCAACTCAGTCAGTACCCTAATCGCATTGCCACCGGCATTCTGCACCAGTGTACGAGGGATGACTTCCATCGCATCTGCGACAGCACGGAAAGGCTGTCCCTGGACACCGACGATGCTGCGTGCCTTTGCTTGAAGAGCCACACTGATCGCCATCTCCGTTGCACCGCCGCCGGGTGCAAGACGCGGGTTGAAAATCGCATTCCGAGCAACAGCCATTGCATCTGCTAGGTTACGATCAATCTCGTTCAAGATATCCTTCGACGGCCCTCGAAGCAATATCGTGCATGCCTTGGGTGACTCGCACTCGGTGAGGAATGTGAAATATTCATCGCCGATCTTTTCGATATGGAAGAGCCCACATTTCGTGCCAACGTCCGATTCTCGCAGGTCCTCGACACGATTTACGATCGTTGCGCCAACAGCTCGTGCAATACGGTTATTGTCTGATTTTCGAACCCTTCGGATTGCAGTGATATTCGCTTTGAGCAGGTAGTGCTGTGCAAGGTCGGAGATGCCTTTCTCAGTAAAGACGAGGTCCGGCTTAAACTCAATGAGCTTTTCGCAGATCATCTTGACTTGTTCCCCTTCAATCTCCAACACGCGATTCCAGTCTTCCTCCTTCGATATTTCGATGTTTGTCTGACTCTCGCCTTTCTTGTATTCAAGTGGACAATCCAGTAGAATAATTCGAGGCTTCTCAATCCGACGTCGCATTTTAGGATGAGTGATGTCCTTGTTGAGCATTACTCCCCTGAGGACACACGATTGCTCGATCTCGCCGCCAGGTACCTTCTCAACACGTGCATAACGCTTAATGTCGACAGATGTTACTCCCGTGTCGTTTTGTGTGACAGTGCGAATAGCTTGTAAGGCAAGCTTGCACATCTGTTCCGACCACCGTACGACGAACTTAGTGCCGATGGAGGTTTTTATGAGAGCGAGCATGTCGTCATCGCTTGATGTGTCGATTGGGATGGATATTCGTTCGATAACCTCGAGCGCCTCTTGTAATGCTTTGTTGAACGCAGAGATGATGACGACTGGATGCGTATTCCTCTCTAACGGTTGAAGGGATTGTGCAAGGATTTCACCGGCTATAAAGGCATGGATGAGTGAAAACCTTTTACAAGGCACATGCACAACACGCACCAAGAATGATGACACTCGTCGTCCCATCTCCACATTCCTCATCTTGCGTCCGACTTAGTTCAATCATGTTTTTCGCTGCGGGATGTGCCACTTCTATCTCTCGTAAAATTGCGTTTCCGTCATTCGTAAGCCTTGAACAGCGATTAATAGGTGCGGCAAGTTAAACGAAACTGCAACATACAAAATACCACCCATAGGATCGAGAATCATCTTAAGCATAGCTTTCGGGCCAAGGCATGTTCGAATGACATCTGCGACAGTCTAAGAAAGTATAAGTATGACCCTATGGCAACGATTTAGTGTACGAACTTTTGCTGCAGTTATGTTAGAAATTTGGGCTTTGCGACCAGATTGTCGTTCTGGCGCAGTATCTACAGAGGCCATATGAGGATATAGGAGACAATCTGGTAGTAGAACTACATACTCATAACGAAGACTGGCGTCTGTCCTGGTCCAGCAACGGCGGCCATGGTGGGTCAAACTTGAGGAGGGGTAAATGCTCCAGTACACGCGTCGCGTTTCGATTTCCTTCTACTGGTTCTCACTATGGCATGCATTTCTCACGATTACAGGACAACTGAATAGTAATTAGACTGCACAAAGAAGGTGATGACTCTCGTACTACAAGTACAATAACTGAGTAGAAGGCTAGGCGAATTAATCATACTTTGACACCAGCAGCTTTCATGAGGTCCGCAACCTCAACATCTAAGTCCACGTAAGCACTGAGCCGCTACGAAATGAGTGAGACACTCACGATCTTCCGTGTGCTCCATGACATGCGCGAATTCGCACGTATTACCTAGAATCACATCCTCAGATAAATGTCACTCTAAAGAAATATCTAGTACAGACCTGGACCGAAAACGAAATCGCCTCCGTTCTGTGAGACCTTGCCCTGCTTGCCAGTAAAGGCTTGTAGTGGGTGGAAGACCACTGCATTCTATTTATATTTATGCGATAGTGAGAAAGCAGGTCTCTGGAGTAGGGAAAACAACTGGTCTCACCCAGAAACTCTTCAGGACATTCGCCCAATACGGACGAACGTAACTCCGCTTCTGCTGGCCGGCAGGAGTAAGGTTCAAGTTGCACGACATCCCGAGTTTCTGATAGAGATCCCGAGAAGGTTCAGCGTATATATCCCCCTTGAACCCAGTATCCTCTGTAAAAGGATGGTGTAAGAGGAAGGTGACCAAGACTACGAGTGGCAGAGCTTGCTTTTATACCCCTCAATTAACGACCAGTCACCACAACCGATGATAACGAGTTTGGTACTGGCTTCCGCTAAAGCAGATTCAGAGACACCTGCAAGTTGCGAAACATACGCCTATGAACCTGCGTGTCAAAGGATTGACAGTGTAGATTTTGAATATTAACTGCATACCTGACAAGACTGCGAAATATAAAGGACGACAGTCGTAAAACAAACTCTTCCGCGAAATTGCATAAATGCACTTACACCACAGAAGAAATGACCTGTATATAAGAATACATTAGCACAGTTATAGTGCTTTCAGACCTGCACACTCACGAATAAAGACAACTATGGTCTTTGAAGAGGAGAAGAGGTTTCCGAAAGGCAATTTGTTCCCTTTACTATCAAATATATCAATTTTCGCTGCAGAAGCGATGGTATCTGAGTCTGGACTGCTCATATTGGTGCCTAATGACGGCGAGTGTAGGTGCGCAGAAGGATGTTTCTCGCGGGTCTGGACGGATTGCCCAAACACTGTGCTCGGCAATCACCTGATTCGGTCATTCTTCTAAATTTGGTGCAAGCCAGAGACATGGTGATTGTGTACTACTACTAGTACACGTAATCGCCACTGTCCGGTATGGCATTGACAGGGTTGTGGCAGGACTTCTTACTCACAACTGAAGCTACACTAACTTATATTGTTACTTTACAAGGTATTCAAACTCTATTAATAAATGCAATATTCAACTAAATTTAGGTAAGCCACTACAGCATGTTTCAGGCCATTAATTTTGTCTGATTAACTTTGCCTTACTATAAAGTGACATATTGCTAAAATTACTATAGAGTATATAAGGCATGAATGCAACTGTTTTTGCTTTTCAGTACTACCATATAATGAATAACTCTCTGAGACACAAGTCTTGTAAGATATACTCACTTTACTAGTCCTAATCCTTAGGAATAGTAACAGAATAGAGTATAGAGGGTAAGACTTGTAGACTTGTATAGTAAGAGGGTAGAGGAGTCCTACTTTAGTCAAGCTACAAGTGTAGCCTAGTAGGTTAGTAGTAGAGTACTTCCAAGTACTAGGTAACTTAAGTTGATAAAACTATCCTTTGAGGGCCAAACTGGCCTCCTTATATACCTTTTGCTAGAGTGATGTTACTCTAGTGACTTTAGTAACTCCCTTCACTGTTGTTCCTATGAAGTAGAGCTGGCTAATCCTTTAGACTGTATG